TACAATTGAGAAGGACAAATTTGCAGGGCTATGGGGAGAGAGAGGGGGAGTGGGATTGATTTGGATAGCTATTTTCAAAGAGCCAGCGCAGACACGATGGGCCGAATGGCTTCCTTCTGTGCTGTATAATTCTATGATTCTACTCCCTTTAGCAGAGTAACATGTTGATGAATAAGTGTTTGGAAAACCTTTATTTGTTTATCAATTGTGAAAAGGCAACACATTCTTGAAGGTCCCTATTCCATTTCGCATCAAGCCAGTATCTGAAACGTTGACATTTTCAGGTTTCTTATTTGTGTAAACAAATGATTTAAAAATAAATTGACATATTGCAATTCCTAACGTATTTAAAAATGTCCTGTTCCTTAAAAAACGTCTGTTCTCCTATTGTTCCTCAGTGCAGTTATCTCCATGCAAGTTCAACTCCCTGGAGGTGCATGGGTTCAGTAACCTACTGTTTGCAAAATCGTCCTGTGTTATTCTGGCAAGCAGTACTCTATGCCGTTTTCTCTTAACTGTCTCCTGCAAGATTGCTACGCTGTGCTATGCAATTTATTTGATTGCTATGCAGTGTATTTGATGTTGACTGAGTATCCATTCTGCAATCATCAAGTACATACACAACACGTACAGTGTGTGTCATTTCCCGAACTCAACTGTATAATCATCTTGAGCTAATGAGCCAGTGATTTCTGTGGATAAGAGCGCGTCTGTGTGTCGGAGATTAATTGGAAGGTGCTTTGAGGCGAAGGTGTTTCAGGGTCATTGCGTATTTCCTGATTCAAAGCTCAAACTGTGCACATTTACTCTTGTGTGACTCTGGGTTTGATTTCAAAGATGCTAGCTGCCTTCTGCTACCTCACTGAAATAGAATTCCTCATGTGTCAGCTTATTTTATTGCTTCTGAGATCAACTAACTCAGCACAAATAGAATCTGGTACCTTTCAGGACTTAGTTTTGTGCTAACCAGATGATTTTCCCCAGCCAAACCATCCGGTTGCTGTGCGTATGTCGGTGTCACTTTCTCATTGCTACTCTGAGCAAATGATTAGCCTGCCTTGTATTAGGAAAGCAAGCTGCACAGTCATCATTGCACTCAACTTGCGTGTAATCTTGGAGTTGCATAATTTATTTAATGTTCTTTGCTCTTTATTTGTGCAGATGTTGTCCTCTGTATTTTGGCAAAAGAATCCAGCAAAGTTTGGATATGGTGCAATAATTGCCTATAGCTGAAATTAGGTTGTCAAGTCCGAATGATTGAGAGGTAGAAGACTCTGGTGGTGGGGACGGTCACATCCTGTTCTCACCCAAATCATGCATGCATGTTCACACTTGCACGCTCAATTTTCCCACTCCAATCGCTGGCCTGGGTGAGATCAACTGACTCAGCGCAGACAAGTGATCAGGTCATTAGCCTTCCATTTTTGTGTGCTGCTCAGTTTCACGTTCATCGCCTGAGCCAAGGAGATAGGAGGGGGGGCAGTGGGGGAGTGGCGAGGCATTTACTGAGAAAAGTTTAGAAGAAGGACTTGCTTACTTCTCAATTCACCACCTGCCACTTCCACTTGGCAGTCTCTGGTCTCCTGTTCGTCCCCTCTGCTCCACTCTCAGCCACTATTCACCGAAACTTTGGAAACCTCTTCCTCAGTCCCTCAGCCTTGCTCCCTCCTTCCCTATTTTTAGATAATGCCTGAGGACCTTCCTCTTCGACTACTTACGATCACATCCCCTTGGCTCGATGTCAGGCTCTGCCACTGGTAAGCGCTCAGACACTACCCCGTATGAAAAGTGCAATATAAATGCAAGTTGTTGGTTAGTCATCAATCACAATTGCTCATTACTTTGTGTTGGATTTGGACACAACCTTAGGCAACAACAACGTGCATTTATCCAGTTCCCTTCACGTGGGGTAGTGTCCCAGAGCTCTTGATAGTGGCGGAGTCTGACCCCGAACTTGGGAGCGAGGAGGGGGAGGTGTCCATTTCCTTAACGTTTCCTGACTCCACACGCTTCTGTTTACCTAGAAGTAAGTAAGAATCCAGTTGTTAGTTGATTAGCAGATCGCTTTCTAGGGGTAATATTCCCCCTGTGCCCCAAATTTGGTCATTCAATCCACGACTGTTTGTGGGACAATGCTGTATGCAATTGGCTGCCACATTTCCCCCACAAAATATACAGTCTATTCACTTCACAGTATATTCTGTGAAGCACTTTAAAACGTCTCAACTATGTGATAAGATGCTATATCAAATCCAAGGATTATTATAAGGGACAGATGTGGACAGATGTATGACCTCACCCCTTGTATAAATTAGGCACTCATTTTAAAGATGTGTTATGGACATCATGTCTGGTGGTATTAACCACAGTGAACCTAGAGACACGACAAACTTTCAGGCCCCGAAGCATTGTTCCTGTAACCAAGTTCCAATCTCTGTTGTTTTCCTTTCCTGGTTGCTGCGTGTGTATGTTCCGAACTGTGAATAATGGTCCCAGGCTAACTGGAACCATCCCTTGTGCTCCGTCAATAAGCATGAATCACCTCGCTGGCTCGCTTGGCTCGGAGCATTTATTATTTGTTGTGCAATCTGAATGTTTGAAAGCAATAGCCAAATATGTTTCTTTCCCCTCATCAAAACAATCACTCTTGTGAAATTAGTAACACTTTTCTCAGACGTGCAAAGAATTAAAATTTTCACTTCCTGTTTTATTTTCCTTGAATGCATTTATTATAATAAAATAATAATAATTCTTGCATTTGATCTAGCACTTTTCACGTCTTCTTGGACGTCTCAAAGCGCTTCACAGAATATGCTTTAAAGTGAATTGACTGTATATTAGTGGGCGAAACGCAGCAGCCAATTGCGCACAGCAGTGTCCCATAAACTGTCATGGATTGATTGACCAAATTATTACCCAGAGCCCTCTTTTCTCTCCCGCCTCCTGCTGCCGCAGGAAGGTGAACGTATATACATTTAAGTTAAGGACATGATCAGACTTGGCTACGCTGCCTTCCTCAATCGATCAGTCTGCTAATGCTGCCAGTCGTGGATTGAAAATGACCAATTTATTATTGTTGTGTTTTGGAGGGATTATATTAGACTAATTTGTAGCTAAAAGTAACAAAATGCAAAGACTGTTCTGAACTGAGACCTTCAGTGATGTTTTAATTGAGCTACCAAATCAGTTAGTCAGATTAATAGTATTTGCATTTGATATATATATATAGTGCCTTTCACGTTCGGAGGATGCAGTGATTGTGTATTTGTAGATGAACAAGGCGGCCGATTTAAGCACAGCAATGTCCCACAAACAGCCGTGAAGTGAATGACCAATTGTGTCTGGGGGATTGTTGGCGTGAACACAAGGAGAAATACCTTTCTCTTTTCGAATAGTGCTATGGGACCTTTAACATTCACCTAAACAGGTAGACAGGACCTTGGTTTAACGTCCTATCCAGAGGACGGTATCTCTGCAGAGCTATGCAACGCAATCTAGATTTAAAGTCTCAGAGACGAGAGTGCTGCGAGCTGAGCCAGGCTGTGCAGGAGAGCCTCAAGATAACCATAGGAACATTATTTTGTTTCAGAAGATAGAGAATCAGATTTGTTGGGACTTCCTGGGCAACATTTTAATGTGCTGTAGAAACCATAGAGTCAGACCTGACGCAGTGATCTCTCAGCTTTCAGCCTCATCTCAGTGGTGATGGAGGACGACAAGAAAGACTTGCTTTACATAAAAATCAACTCTGAACCTCTGTTCACTGCCACCTTTGTAAATGGCCAACTGAAGTAGACCAGCCTTGACAAAGGGCTTTGGAGCAGAAATTGGGTTGGACTTGTGAAAAACATCAGTTTAGCTATAAAAGATCACATCTAATCTAACCCGGGACCAGGGTTTTGTGCTTGGGTTTTATTTATTTTCGAAAGGCAGAAGTTTGAGTTTAGTAGCTGTAGCCCTTTCCTGTAGGATCAGCAGCCGTTTGTGGCACAAACCAGGATCATGCTTTTTTTTTATTGGTGAGCGAGGTTAAGCCCTGCTCACCCCCATTAACTGAAGTAGACCTAATGCATTCCACCAGGGAACGAGGGTTGTCCCCGCAAACAAGCCCCTGTATCCCCGAACTCCTCTGGGCCCCAAATTGTCAAAGGACAATGCGGATTTGAAACCTGTCTTCATGACCACCCGAACAAGTCAGGTGACTGTATCTTCTCTCCAGCGAGGCAAGCCCACCCTGAGCCTAGTGACTTCTGCATTCCAGTATCGCAGCTTCTGCTTTGTGAAGGCATATCAGACACCTCCTGTCAGACGTACTTCAATACCGATCCCAGCCAACAGATGGCCAAAGGCACAGCCTTTGCCAGGAGCTCAATCTTTCCCATAATAATTCACTTTATGAGTGAAATTTGGCCCTCACAGAGTTAACATTGGCTGTTTTACCAAACTGCGGTGATGGAATCGCAATGGCTATTGCTCCGGTCAATATTGGTAAACTTAGGTTAAGCAAATGGTGCTGTTTTCTAATATTTGATTTAGACTATGCCGTGTTGTTACGACTACCGCTAGAGTATTATCCCATCAGATTCCATATATAAATAGAGCAGCAAGGGCATGGCTCATTTCCTTTTTGTTAACAGTCAGATAATGAAAGGAAAGAACGGGTGCAGAAAAAATGTCAATTATAACTGGCTCCAGACTCTGCTACAGCATATCGCGAGTTGAAGTTAAGGTTCAGAGGGAGAGTCACAAGATAACCATTTGAACATTCTTTTATTTCAGAAGTCTTCCTGTCACATTAATTTAGTCAGCTCAGGCTGGTGGAGTCTTTGGAGAACAAGTTATTTTCCGGAGCTTTGATAGCTGCTTAGTCACAGAAGGGCACAATAAAGAATAGATGCAATGGGGAACTGGGTGGTGCCATAAATTAGCACTGTGTTTTGCTTTCGTGACCTGTTTATCGAATCAGCACTCACTGTGAAGCTGAAATGATCCTGGCAAGGGTCGTTTATCAGGGGTGCTGTTTCTATGTTTAAGAGCGTTTTGTTCCTGAGATTAAAATTTGTAGTTCAGTAATGATCAAAAAGTTGAAAGCAAAACTTACTGCAGTTCAAAGCCACAATCATTTAGAAACTGTCTTGCAATAGTGGGAGAATTTGGGTTGGTGGAAATTGTGGGATGATTGCACAATAGAGGGAAAATCAGGAATCAGCTAGCACATTCAGCGGCTATTAGCAGATCCTGATGCTAGATACCTGCTTTCCCTGCAGATGATTGATATACGTATAACAATTTGTATAGGATTGGATATAGCCATGTGACATTATAGGCTAAATAGTTGTTGAAATAAATGCAAGATTTTGGTACTAGAGATTTGTGCACTGGTTGATTGGGGCTTTTTGCAGCTTATTCTAAGAGAAACAACAGGCTTGGTTTTCATTGTGTTATGATTTCTATTAAATCATTAGACTTTGCTCTTTTCCCTTTTGCAGGCTCTTCCTTCAAGTATGGTCATCGTAGGAAGCTATAGTGCGGTTATAGCTGCTGTGTTTATTGTGCTGAAAACAGTGAACTATCGGTTGCACCGAGCACTAGATGAAGGCGAGATTGTGGATCGGAAAAGCAGCGCGATAACCGAGAGGGCCCCGAAAACTGAGGAGGGAGATGGTTCTGCCCGACGGGAAGACAGCAATGGACCTGGGTGAGCAACGCAACTCCTGGGAGACTGTCCGTGTTAAAAATTTATTTGCGTATTGTACTTTTTCTTGCCTCTGAAAATAGTCACCTAATCTACAGCATCTTTGTTATCTACAAACTGCAAGTGAGTCCACTGAGCCTCCTGTGTTTGGACCTGGTTCTGTGCATTTCCAACGCATGAACCATTACCCTGATAAAGCACTGATAATCTAGCAATAAGACTACTTGAACGTCAATACCAATAGTACAAAAACATAATTTCAAATGAAATAAACACACTTAACAATATATTTGCACTCGCCCTGGTCTGACTTGCTCTCCTATGTCCTGACCTTCACTTGGAAAAAGTTTATCTTTCCGGTATCACACAGACAGCTGCAATCAGCCAGCATTTATAATACGTTGGATCCCATTGTATAATAAATGGTCAGAGCTTCTGGGTCATTAAGTTGCTGTTGATATTTGCTACCCGCTATTGTGTTGCAAGGGTTTCCAGTGGTTGCTTTTCATCTGGGAGACCTTCTGCACAGGAACGTGCAGGAAGCTGTCCTCTCAGCAGTGGAAGTGGCTGCACTTCTGGTGGAGGTAGGGTCCCTGGTACACCTGCTTTTGAAACAGCCACAAGCTTTACTGGGAAGCTTCAAAACAGGGTCTGACTAAATATAATAAGTACTTGCATTTGATACATTGCCTTATCACGGCATTGAGACTCAAAGCACTTCACCAGACACACTGTAAAGTGGTGTAATTGTGTGTATCTTATGGGCAATTATGAAAATACACTAACTCTTGATAAGTTGTCACTCCAAGGGAAAAGGGCTCAGTGATGATGAGTTATCTGGAGTGGCGAGTTAGGCTTATGTATAAATAAATAAATAAATAAATAAATAAATAGGATATTGACAGCATGATGACTTAAGTGGTAGTGACAAGTTAAACCAGGGTCGTGTTAATATATATATTTATATAATACGTCACTCCAAGAGAGTGTGTAACTCGTCACTTCAAGAGAAAAGTGCTCAATAACAAATTATCCGGATTGTCAAGTTAAGCATATGTATAAATACATCAAGTCTAAAGAATGCTTGGGATCATTGAGAAAGATAAGTAAAAGTTCCATTATATATGATTCTATATGTATCACTTGTTGAACAAAAAAGGCCTGTTACAGGATGGGAATAAGATCAAAAGCCCACCCAACACCACCATATTGATTGCATTTTATGAAATGGCTGAAGACAGACAGGAGATCAGTCATTTACTTTTAAACCTTTTTTCGGCTATTTTCCATGAGCTCCTGCCATATATTTTCGAAGATGACAGCAATATTTTTTTTTGTTAAGTCAGCCTCGGCAGCGAGGCCAGTTTTGCAGCCGGTGAAAACTTAAAACAAGCAAAGAAGAATATCTAATGGAAATGAGACACATTAGGACAGGTAAACACATTTGCAATGCTCTCGGGATTAATGACTGCAAGTCAATGATGACTACACTGTCTGAACAATGGATGGGATCTTTGAGAGAGATTTCTTTCAATGCTGTATAAACTGTATTTATAAAAGTTCCATTATGTTATAATGTGAGGAGAAAGCAGCTTATGGATATGCCATCAATAATTCACGTAGAACAGCTGAGACTCTGTTCAGCCTCTTATGTTCTTTCCCTGTGCCACCTACTACATTTGCTCCTTTGTGCTCTCCCTGGGTTTCTTCGCATCTCTCTTACTCTAACGGAATGTCAGAATCGAGTCGGTCCTCTGTCCAGTTTCTGAGATAGGTGGGTCTGCAGTACTCCAGTGCACTGCTGATGACAGACCAGCCATCCTGCACTCATCAGCAGGACTTGGACGGGCAGACCAGTCATTGGGAGCCAGAAAGCTTCCCGGTCAGTTCCTTCTAGTTCTTCAAGGCAAAGTCTAGTGGACTTTGGTTATAGCTGGACCAGCAGTGGGAACTTGTCAGATAGTATGCTCATTGGCAAGCCATCCATTTTCACTGTTTAAACTCCAAAAGTACCCCAACACACAATCTGCGATCCCCAAGCCTTGACTCCAGTCAAGCAGAGAGTGACCTTCTGCAGAGAGAATGCATATTTCACTCCAGACAAACAGAAATTTCTGCGTGTCATACATATATGGAACAGTGTCTGGTTTGCATATTCATAAGTGTGGTAATGGATTTCCGCATTTATGCATCAGACACCCGGCTGACCAAACGAAAAGCAAACTTATTGCAACCAAAGGATCACACCTTGCGCATCACACAACCTGCTCTGAGGATATATTGGCCCTGGAGTAGGGCAGTCATTCACCAGAATGATACCGGGGCTTAAAGGGTTAAATTGTTAGGACATGTTGCATAAACTTGGTCTGTATTCCCTTTAGTTCCGAAGGTTGAGGGGTGATCTAATTGAGGTGGTTAAAATAATAAAAGGATTCGATAGGGTAGTTACAGAGAAACCATTTCCACTGGTGGGAGAATGCAGATCAGGCGCATATCCTGAAATTAGAGCAATAATAATAATAGCTAGGCCATTCAGGAGTGAAATCAGGAGACAGTTTTTCACCCAAAGGGTAGTGAAATTCTGGAACTCTTCCCCCAAAAGGCTGTGGATTCTGGATCTGTTCAAATTTTCAAGACTGAGGTGGATAGATTTTTATTAGGTAAGGATGTCAAGAGATATGGGGCAAGGTGGCTAATTGGAGTTGAGGAACAGACCAGCCGTGATCTTATAGAATATCAGGCTCAAGTGGCTGAATGGCCTATTCCTTTTCAATGTTTTTTCTGTGAGCCGCCACTCACATAGGCTACTAGCTGAACTGCTAAACATTGATGAGAAAACTTTGGACAGTCAACAGCATCAACAACAGTTGGTTGGCCAAGCAGTCAGATCAAACAAAAAAGTTAATCGTGACTTACAACTTGACGTGTTTTAGAGACTTAAGGAGAGCAATTAAATTGTGTCGATTCTGGGGAAGTGGGGAGAGAAAAGAGGTAAGGACATTTTTAAAAAAAAAAGAGGTCAGAAGTTAGTTGCTTGCTTTGACTCACAGAAACTAAGAGCTCTGCAGTGTCTCTCGGCTGTCTGAAGCAGCAAAGAATCGTCTGAATAAACAGACTACTGTGACCACAATCATCTCTATTTATAGTGCTCTAGGCCAGGCCAAGCCAGCGTGATAATGGAGGTTACTCCTGGAAAAGGCATTGACTTGCACCATAAAGACGAGAACTCCCATGACTTTTAAACAATATGATTGCTTTACTTCCAAATCAGTCATAAAAATGATTGATGTGTTGGCTGGAATCTAAAGCTCTCTCTTCTCCATTTACGGAATCCACATATTTGTGAAACGTTGGCTTTGTGAAAGATAACTTGTTTTGATGGTGGAAGTTGGCAGTTTGTCATTCAGACTGAAGCGGGGAATGTCTTCAGTGAAAGGGCTTGTTTTTGTCTGGGAGAGAACTTTGTGCAACAGAGGCAATGTAAAACATTTGCCTGGCTTTGCTCTTGTGGTGTAGGCTGATTGCTTAGGCAGATGTGAAGATTTGCTGGCAAAATGTTTATCTGAGGACTGCGCCGATGCTGTTCAGAATGTTTTTTCCCATAACAATTATTCCTTTCTGCTTTCCCCAATCCTTTTTCCTTCCATTTGGTAACCATTACACGGGTGCGTCCACCCTTCCTCCTCTGCCCCCCTTCCCCCCCCATTGCCTCACTCACAAAAACAATAATGCTTACATCTCATATTGAGAGGATGCATATGCACATGTACCCACACACATACACAGCTTTAGAACCAGAAAATGAGCAAAATTGTTCTCAATGGAGGCAGGATTTAAAGTGTCAGACTGGACCTCTGTGCCCTGGGCAATCAACACGCATATACACACATGCGTATATAACCCATTACCACCACCGTTGAATTTTTAAGCTCTGTAGGATTAAACATTGAATGTAATCATGTTTTGAGTCTAAAGAAGTTATAGAGCTATAGAGTTGAGGTGAACAGTTTAAATTCTAAGGGTTAGTGCCAGGTTTAAGCAAGACCCCATCAGAGAAGGAAATGTTGCTTCTATTCTTATCCTGCTCATGTTTCTGAATTGCTGAATTTACAGAGACCCCGGAGGTGGGATCGAGATGACTGAGTTTGTACGAGAAGCTACTCCCCCGGTTGGCTGTAGTTCACGCAATTCCTACGCTGGTCTGGACACAAACCATCAGGTACTATAGTAGAATTGTAGTGTCCACTGTACCGTGCGCTGCATATTGTGGCTACCGAAGGATAGGAAAACATTTTCTTTTGTGTTTCGCTTGGTTCTAAAAGCTTGTAATTCAATCTGCAATCCAGCAACCAGCAGGTTTGTTACAAAAAGTCAGCGCCTGTGAAGTTAAGAATGGGTTATTTTGACCTGGAAGTGAAAGGGAGCTTTGTACTGTAAATAAAATTAAATGGAACGAATGGCGAGCATGTTCCCTTCAGTGGGATTTAAAGCATTTTTGACAATCAGGCTTTTTATATATTTTTAATAAATTTTATTCCAAATTCCAAAATTATCAAACTAGGAATGTTGTATGAAGTAAAGCTCAGGTTAATTACATTTTTTCAAATTAAGAGCCAAAAAATATTCAGAAATTCTTTGTCATGTTCATAAAGTGTCAGTAACTTTAAGGGCAACCACGGCCGCCCAGTTTCTAACCTAGGAATTTCTATATGCTGAACCTTAATAAACTGCTACCATCCAACAAAGGAAAAAGTTATCGGACTTTCTTAACAAAACTACATTTCTTTTAAGGCAAAGTCATGTTGTACCTGTATGTATGTTTGGGGGAGGGTGAAATGAAGAAAGGAACAGCCTTTAAGAATCCGACATTCAATCAGAAAGTCAGCTAGCCTTTACAGGTCTGTACCATACGATCAGCTCCCTTGTCAACTATTTATCAATAAATCAGCAGTGATTATATAGCAATCATCAACTATGTAGCTGGCCATCAACAGGCAAAGGTTGCCATCAGTGTCACTCAACTTATTGAAAGCGCTTCACAGGATATACAGTAAAGTGGATTGACTGGATATTTTGTGGGCGAAACACTATACACAATTGATACTGTCCCCAAGTGCTAAAGTAGGGAGAAGATCTAGGATTGTGTCCAGCTCATTGCAGCACAGCTGATCTCTAATTGCACTCTTTTAATAATGACTTCTCCTTTAATAGATTGTGTCACCTCACCATGGAGCTGCAGCAAGCATTAAAGGTACAAAGTGCGCTGTATGATGAGAATGTAATTGGTACATTAATGGGCGAGCTTTCAGCCATTTTGCCCTGCTTTAGGAATTCTACCCCGCAGACCCTCCACCATGCCCTCTCCCTTCTCACCTTCAAAACCTGACTTTAGACATATGAACATGTGTCTAAATTGGCCCGTCACAGATACGATGGGGCAAATGGCCTCCTTCTGTGCTGTATAATTCTATGATCTCTTTTTGACTGGGCTTTTGGCCATACCTGCATCCTTGATTGGGCTTCCAGGCAGCTGTGTGAGCACTGTGTGGTGCTCTGTGGTCTGACAACTTCACTGCTCTGTCTTTCTGGGAAGGTAAAGCTTCCTAGAGGGAAGGTAAAACTTCTTGCATGTGTTTTCTACAGATCACATCCAGTACACATGTGTGTGTGTGTATATGTGCGTGAGTGCCTGTGCGTTTGTATATTATATAAACTACACTTTTAATTTCAGTTGTAGAGACGCTGGATAATTGGCCTCTGATAATTTCTTGCCCTCTGTATGGTGATTCCACAGTTTTGATGGCTTATTCATTCTCTGACCTTACACATGACAAATAGCCACATGGGCAATGTAGTAGAGTGAGCAGCATCTTCAGGAGAAACACTTGTGAAGTTGTTACTAGTACTTGCTGTGCTGGAGTAATGGTGATGTGGGCTTCAGAGCAAACATTTGAAGACGGATTTCCTATACTGCCTCAGCTTTCCTTCACGTCTCTTTTGTCCCTTAAGTTTTTTTTAGAACAAAAAAAAACATATTCTGGTACGGACTGCGGCAACACCTCTTGCATGCAACAAATGCTTTGGAATGTGGCTCTGTAATTGTTTTGTGTGGGAGACAAAGCATAACGTGCTATTGTCAGTTTAACAGCTGAGCTCTTTTCCCTCTGGGCCTGACCATTATTTTGTGGTGGTTCTGAGGTCTACCTATAACGTGAAGACACAACAAACCATTAAAAGCTCGATGTCGCAATTCTTTAAACTTTAGCCTCTGTAGGATCCCTCACAGAATCCAGCTCCTTGGGACGACCTCCTGACTGAAAGGCACTATGCAAATGTAATTTGCTGTTGTTGTCATCATGTTCGGTGCAACATTGTCCATAACATGGACGGAGTGACGAGAAAGTTACTTTTGTTGATCTTTAATAGGACACAGAACATCCAGAAATGCATTGTGCATTTGAAAGGAGGTCATAAAATGGGATACTGACTAACTGTGTCCTTTGACTGCAGAAATATTACCAAGCCCTCCAGAATAAAAGGCATTCGTGCAAAAAAGAGTTGTGGTGACATTTGTGAAACCGTTTACTTGTATTTTTGGATGCTTGTAAGTCTGATGTTGCCCTTGATGTCCCCCACAGCGGACGGAGACACTGCGAAAACCTCGGACGACATCAGTTCGAGCCTGGGCCAGAGCTGCACTTTGTACAAGGATGTGAACAACGAACAAGGTAGGCTTCTGTGAGCAATCAAATCGACTGACAAACAATGCAGCAATTTCACATTAATGTGCTGCAATTTTTCCTAGATAAATCTGGCTGACATTCTGGATGGTGCCATTTAAAATCATCTGGTCGCTATAATAGTAGAAGCATCTATTTTAGGGAGCAGTGACATTTGGGCAATGACTGCCCTCAATTGTCTTTGCACAAGATCTATAACTAATAGCATAATAAATGTATGTGTTTTTTATATATGTACTTGTGGTGGGCATTATTAAATTGTTTTATCCAGTTACTCTACTGTAGATCTTATCAGGACAACTTGGAGCAATTTGTTCCATAGGTGAATCCTTGTGGAGAATGTAAGTAGACAAGATAGGGCTTAGAGTTTCAGAACAAATAATCCTTGCATTATATACAAGTTCCATAACATTAAAACGTCTCAAAGCCCTTCACACATATTTCCTGTGAAGTATAGGATCTGCATATTTGTAAGTAAATACAGCAGCTATCTTGTGCACATTAAGGAGCCGCAAACAACCATGAATTCATGATCAATTTATCTGCAAAATTGTTGACCAGGGTACCAGAAGAAATGCCATTCTCTCTTCAAACAGTGATGTTGCATCTTTTATGTCCTGAATATGCAGACGAGTTCTTGGTTTAATGATTCATCCAAAGGTGATATCTCCCCCAATATTATATTGGAATGTCAGCCTAGACTATGAGCTCACAGCTATGAAAAGGTGGATCTTAAAGCTTCAGAACTGCATTTCCATTAGAGTTGATTTGTTTGCACAATGTAGTTCCCTGCACCTTGTTAAACATAACATTTTCAGAAGTGCTTGTCTTCCAGTGTTTCACCTATAAATATGCAGTCACTCTACTTCATAGTAAAATCCTATGAAGCACTTTGAGATGTCCTCCAAAATGAAAGATGTGTTACCAAATGCAAGGATTATTATTGTTTAGAATTATAGAAAGCATATAGGCCAGCAAGAGGATGCCTGGCCTATCGTGTGTGCTGGTACTCGTTTCCTCCACTGGATCTCATTCCCTTGAACTTTCTCTGAGCCCTTTTCATACAATTTGTCCTAACATTTTTATCCAATTTCCTTCGGTTTATCTAAGGCATTATCTGTAACCTCAGGTGATGAGAAAGTGCGCTTTGAACATGTGAGCGTGAGCACAGTGGAGACCATTTGCACTGTTGAGCTGTACAGATTTGCTGGTTGCACACAACATCATATTTACTCTGCCCTCTCCCCCACCCCCCCACCTCTCTCTCTCTCTCTGCAGATCTGGTACTAGATTCAAAGCTTTTCCACGTGGTCTCAAATGATTCCTTCATGTCTAACCAGCCGCTAACATCCTCGGGAACGCAGGACTTTCCAAGAGATGCCAGTGAACGAATGTGCCACCACCACACAGAGCAATCGCTGTCTGCTGCCTGCGACACCGAAGCAGCTTCCCTTGTACCTTTGCATTCCCAGTCTTACAGGAAAGATCATAGACCCAGGGGGGTGCCAAGGACTTCCAGCTCAGCAGTCGCTTTTCCAGACACCTCTCTCAGTGATTTTGCCCTCTTTCAGCAAAGACGAGGGTTAGACACGGTTTGTGAATTAGAAGGGTCCAAACCACTTTCGGGGTCCAAGGAATCATTGACTGAAAACTCTTGCTACTCTGGCGTTTTCCAGTTGGACGACCTGCTTAAGAGTAGGACTTCACAGCAAAGCTCCAAATCTGGGCTCAGCAAGCCTCTGCAAACAGATCACAGTGTAGACAGCCTGCGGAGTCTGAGCACACGGAGCAGCGGCTCGACGGAGAGCTACTGCAGCGGGACAGACCGTGACACAAACAGCACCGTCAGCAGTTATAAGAGCGAGCAGACCAGCTCAACCCATGTGGAGAGCATTCTTTCGGAGCAAGCAGAAACCTCGGCGGACGAGAAGAGCTCCGAGAAACCAAGCTGTGAGAAAAGTGACGGCCGGAGTGGCTACAGCAGCGGGCCGGACGGTGACAGCACCGTGGAGAATCACAAAAGGACTAGTAGCAAAAGGAAACGCCTGGATGGGGTCAGTAAACCTGGAGGCTGCAATCCCAAGCACGGGAAGCCTTCTGACCGCGTTCAGACTGGAGAGGAGCTGGGTGGTTCTGGTGATGCCAACAAGAATCCTCATGCTAATGAATTGTGTGAAGATACAATGAGGCTGCAAGGCGTGTCACCAACAGACGTGGCGGCCGAGACTGCGGGAGAGGAGGCCAAAGAAAAATCCTTGGTGCCCACTGATACAAGAGCTCTAAAGGAAGAAGTGACAAAACAAAGAGAAGGGGATGTGAGGCCCAAATCCTCCAATTTCCTCCACCGAGCTGCCTCCACACACAAGTCGAACCGGAGGAAGGCGGGGAAAAAGCGGGCGAGCAGTTTTGACTCCAGCCGGCATCGGGAGTACATGTCATTTCGCGCGGTAACTGGTGGCAAACCCAGCAGCAACACTGTTTTCTGTCCGGACGAGGACTCGAGCGATCAGAGCGACTTGAGCAGGACCTCGAGCATGCACTCAGCTCACCGTTTCAGTTCAGACAGCTCATCCAGCACCACCTCCCATTCCTGCCACTCGCCTGAGGGGCGTTACCATGTCTTCAAAGCAAAGTACTTGACTCGAGAAAGAGTCGCCGACTCTGAAGCCACTCTAAAGGTTCATTCTGGCTCGGAAAGCAGTGCTAACGCGAGGAGGCGGTCAACCCGCAGGACTCCCAGTGCGTCCAGTGCCAAGACTCACGCCAGAGTGCTGAGTTTGGACAGTGGCACAGCAGCCTGTTTGAATGATCCCGGCAGACTGGGGACGCCAGATAAAGTGAGGCCTTTAACCACATCCAAATCAGATTTGGAAGCCAAGGACGGAGAGGTGTTGGATGAACTGTCTCTTATAGGTAGAGCTTCCCAACTGGAATCAGTGACTCGCTCACGAAATAGTTTACCCAGTCAAGTTACATTTCCAGAATCTGAAGAAAAAGGAGCTAGAAGCGGAGGTAGGTTGCTCAATTAGATTTTATTGATTTTCCATCGGGTCAATATTTCAACAGTGTAAATTTAATACACATATAAAGGTTCACATCAATTGATGTATTTTTTTCCTCCAGTTTTAGTGACTGGCTATTTGTTGATTTTTTTTCCAAGTATTGTGATATTAGGAGAAATGTATTGGGCCAGAGTGTGGTTTGTAAAATTACTCTGTGGGGCCTGGCTTTTGTATAGCCAAAGAAACTTGAAATTATGCAGGGCCTAATCAGGAGGTCTACCTCTGTTGTCTGAAACCACACTGCAGTTTGCTTTACTGCACTTTGCTATCAACCTTATCTTTCTGAACTTTGATCAGTTGCCTGTAGGAATAAGTATGACCCTTGGGAACAAGCAGTTGAGGCTTGATAGATAACAGCAAATGATTGCCAGCGGTTTGTTTGTAAGATGTAACCTAAGAGAGACCCGGCAAAGAAAGCTAGGAGGATGCCATTTAACCATGTGTTGACGGAAACTGTGTCTGAGTCGTGCGTCAAAGAGTCTGTTTCTCACAGAGTGACCATTCTCCTTTGTGAGGAAAAGGAAATGACTTTAGGCCATCTCGAAAGCAATTTGGCTGGTGCTGCTTATAAACAGGTTGGAGAGAAATGCAAAGCCATTTCTTGAGTGAGTGTCCCAAGCTGGGAGACCAGCAGCCGTCACGTTTAGTTTTCATTGTGTGCAAACATGCAGTGATGCTCGTGCCAGAAAGCCCAGTGACTCCGATCTGAATCTTGTTTGCGTGTAACTAACTGCTCAATCCGTCTGTCTAACTAAAACTTTAGTTCAGTGGTTCTCCTGCTACCATTAAGCATGTGGTACTACATAGACGCTACTCAATACCAAACTTTGTATGTTTACGTGCGTTTCATAGAGGCCCCTGATATCATGTATTAACTGTACAGACATCAGGAAGTCTTTGCTTTGTTTGTAAAGCAAAGTTTTCATGGAGTTTTTTCATAACCTCATTGTTCTTTTTGTTTGACACAGCGTGATATCACATTAGAACAACGTTAGGTTGATGTCCTTTAGGTTTGAACTCAGTTCGTTTATGTTATTGATGTTACCATCCATTTATCCAATGCCTCGTGTTTTCTATTCAGTGGATGGAGAATTGAAAATGGAATTGGGCTGTAATGCATTATTGTATTACGCGTATGCTATCATTTTTGAAATTGGGATTTTAATTCTGAGCATAATTATCTGTTATGTACTTTGAAGGTTTCCCATTTTTATGCAGTGCTTGTGCTTAATTAAGTTGATGTTTAATTTCAAGAGTGCTTAAAACAATATGTGGTCACGTTTGACCATGTGTAAACTCACTATTCTGTATAGTCCAATGTTCCCTTTTCAAGGTTAGGTTCACTTCAGCTGTCAGTTTGCAGAGCATAGCAGGTAATGACAGTAGGTTCCACTTGGATGTTTGTGACACAGCTTTCTACAAGAATCTACAAGATCAGATCATATTCAGAGCTAAGTGACCTGTGAACTGCCTTGATCTGTCTCAAGAACCCCAACCGAGGACTAAATTATCAAACCAGCTTGTTTCAATCCCCAGAAGACATAGTGAAGCTGAATATTCCATCTAGTTTTGGCTGGCACAATGTAAAGGGGGATTCTAAGGAGAGCAATGAGGTTGAACCCCAGTGTTAGAGATTTACTATGGGGGAATAACTATATAAACTACGGCTCTTCAGCCTTGAGACCCTACAAGTATATTAGCTGCTAAATGGAATTAATGACTACAGATATTCTTTTACTCAGCAGCATATTCCAATTTCAGCATGTTTGAGTTAATCTAACCTGGTTGTTTTGTTGGATAGACTCATCCCCTTTCCCCCTCCTCCCCCTCTTTCCCTCTTTTCCTTCCCACTTCTTGATCTTTCATTTTGAAATAAATCTTAAGATGCTAGCCAATGATTTCGTGCCAGGTTGGTTGGAGTTCTTGTTTATTCAGCAGGATGGCTGGTTAAAGCTAGTTGATTCTGGTGGTGACTCAGTCTCTCATTTTATATTTGTTTCCCTTGGAAGTCACGACCGAGCAACATTGGCAAGAAATTCCAACCAGTCAGCAGCAGCCAGTGTAATATTTCTGTGTTGCTATTCACTGACAAAGTAAACCCAAAGGGATTCTTACGTTGGAACAATATAATTGCATGGTTATACAGAAGATTGATGTCCTGTGGTCTGGAAATGTAGATACAACCTAGGGTGGTTCATTTCTAACCACATAAAACAAAAACTTAAACCCAGAAACACAAATTCTTACTCTTGACCATGGTTTTAAACCACACGTGAAAATAAATACCTGTAATTTTCAATGTTCTTTTGGGCAAATTGAGGTTAATTTGGATAACTTTATAGACCATTAAATTAAAGTTCTTTGATACCAACAATGAGTTAATGCAGTTATATCACAATGTATAACTTCAGAGAAGCTACTTTGGTACAAAAAAATGCTGTTTTAATCCTGAGGGAGGTTACTGATCGGTGAGGACAAAGGGCCAATTGAACAGAATTGTTCCTCCTGTTTATTCTATGTGATGAGTTGCTTACACCTGTCTTGCTGTACCAGCACAAGCCACCGATGAGGCGGTTACTTTCCGTCGCGAACGCAGCACGTTCAGGCGCCAAGCCGTCCGGCGCCGGCACAATGCAGGGAGTAACCCCACCCCTCCGGCCTCGCTCATCGGATCACCGCTCAGGTATGACGTGAAACACCCTCTTGTCCCAACTGCATGCCTGCCATAAGTTTTCCATTCCGCTATTTCCTCCATTTTTCTTTTCAAAGCTTATGCTTTGTGCTGTTGCTGCATTGCTTCATGAGCTTGTTGGCTAAGTGAAAGTGCATGTTGTTTGCTTTGTACCTGCAAGCAGTTTTAATGTTGCAAATCGTGACCAAGATTAAGCTTCTTCATTAAAAGTGACTCCAACCCTCATGTATTGTGTGAACTGACATTGTGCTGTTAATTGTCTGCGAAAAGCAATCCCCTTATTCAGCATTAGTCAGGCCGTTCTAAGCACCGTTTGTGGTATAGTTGATTAAAATGGAAAAGCATTTCTTTTTGTGCCTGTGTGCACTTTGGAAATGTAATATTCTATATGTCAGTATTACATACATTCCCTTGGGACGTCCTCCCAACATGAAAGGCACTATTCAAATGTAATTTTGTATTGTATGTCAGTTAAAGGTCTTAAACTGTGTCCCCAAATCTAACCGCCCACAAAATATACAGTCAATTCACTTCATAGTATATGCTGTGAAGCGCTTTGAGATGTCTCAATGACATGATAAGGTGCTTTATTAATGGCAAAGATTATTATTATTATTAACTCACGTACTTGGATTTCCTGACAGTGAAACAGGTCAGTGGTTAAAATCAAGCAGATTAAAGCACCCTAAGCCTTCACATTTCATGGTCAACCTCTGCTCCTTCCCCGTATTTCTGCCTCCAGAACGTTACCAGTGTGCAAATTGGTCAACTGGTAAAGTTCTGGAGGCAGAACAAGACATTCAAGTCGGTTGAGATAAAACAAACTGTAATAGTTTTTCTCACCTCAAATCTTTACCCCCAATACAACTTGCATTCCACCAAGCCAGATTTTATTAATCTGCCCAAGTACTTGTTTCACATTGTGCTAAAGTGAGGCCAGAGATGCTGCTGATAACCATGTTGATCAAAGTGCATTGATGTTATTGCCATTGAATTTTAGATTTTAGCCCACTTGGCTGTTTTGTGTGTCATCACTGTGGAATGGACATTTTAGTGTAACTTCTTCATAGCGTAAACCAGAAAAGGTTTGCATTAAACAGATGGGACAAGTCTTGCCATGAGCCATGTACATCACCTGTGTGTCTATGCCTATTCAATGTCGTGTTTGTACCTCTTATCCCAATATTTGTTGTATGATCTATCGTATCAGTGGGGGTGGTGTTCTACATGATAACTTGACAGAGTAGAGCTGTGGAGATATGGTCAAAGAATACTTATGTGCTTTTACTTATTTATATGCAACTTACTTGCAATATGTACACCTGTGTTAGAACACTTTGGTTTATTTGCAGTGTATAACTTAGTGTCAGAGTCTATCTCTCTCTTTTTCTCTCTACATCTCCCCCCCCCCCCCCCCCCAATCACTATCTCCCTTTCAGTATCTTCTTGCAGCATGCAATCCAGTATCAGGAATGCACAGCTTTAAGTTCAGAGCGATTTCAGTATTGAAGCCAAGTAAATGTTTTTTGTCACCTTTCATAGTTAAGATTCGGAGGCCAAAATAAACATTTGGATCTACTCAAACTTGTGGCAAATGCTTTACAGGCTGTAAAATTCGATCGACTTTTTTTCAATGAAATACAAATTCTGACGTTTTGTAAGATTATCGATATTAGCATTTCAGATGTTAAATGTAGTTATTAAGCAACAAAAAGTGACCCACGGAGCTCTCCGTGAAAGTACAGGGGTTCCGTTCTGGAACTGAAAACTCCACATGACGTTGTCTCTGGGTTTGTTGATATTCTTTGTAGAGAGTTTTCATGTATGACATAAGTCATACATCGTCTCGACCTGTAATTTGGTCTTGAATAGCTGACGTTGAACAAACATTGTTGTAGTTTGTCATGGATGTGGGTTACATAGACCATTCTGTTGCTGTTTTGTGGACATTAATGCACATTCTCTGTTAACCGTAAAAATTTATTGTTTTCCTTCTGCTTCCTTCTTAAAGATATGCTGTGTGCTTAATTTGATATCTTCCTGCGCTTTGCGAACAAAATAATTGCATGAGTTATTTAACCTGCAACTCGTGTGTTTCAAAAGCTTTTTGTGATTGTCCCTCCCGTTTGCTCTGCATTTCTGTAAACTCGCAGATGAATAATTTTTCCTTGTATTTGATGCACTATCTCCCTTTTCATCCTTCTTACTACAGCCTTCAAGATAATCAGCAGGGCCAGCCATCAACTTCCCAGCTCAAAATGCAGTCCCGTCCCCCTTCACAAACTGCCATACTTAGTGCTAGCGCCTCCCTACTGGTCAGAAATGGAAGTGTCCACCTGGAAGCATCCCATGATAACGCCTCTGCTGTGGGCAGCAGCAGTTTGCAAGATGAATTTGGTAGGCATCCTGTAAAGCTCTGACCCAAGCTCATCGGCAAACAGATCATATCACTTTTGGAAATTGATAGTTCGACCCCAAATAAAACCGGCTGAAACGCGAGTCAGTATTCTCACTTCTGGGTCCAGAAAAATGGTCATCATTAGTCTGTGGCAAATGTACCCAGAGTATTAGATTTAACTCGCTGTCCAGATTTTATTTGGGAACGAAATTGTAGCTTAACTATCCGAATTTCTCCCTAACCCAACACAAAGGAGATACTATCTTTAAGCAGGTGTAATGATGATAAAGGTCTTTAAATAGTTATTTCATGTTTTAGGTAAGACTGCATCTTTTAGCTATTTCACCAACTGAAGCTTGTGGTTTTCTATTGAACAGAAGGAACATCCCAATGTAACTTTCTAATGATCACACTCTAACTTTGCTGGTTGTGTCAAACGATGAGCTGGCTGGTAGATTATGTTTTTGAATAATACTGTAATCTTTCATCATTCCTCAGGTTAATATATTTTAATGACCTTTTATACTGCTTAAAGCCTCTCACCTTGGGAGAGGGGAAAAATGGTTGAGAGTATCGCTGCATCAAATCATAAAATAATTCTGCACACATCTTCAAGTGCTCACCTGTGGGCAAATTATAACATTTGACTTGCTTGATTTTTTTTTAAATGTTACAATTTAAAATTGATTGTCAGACATGTTTTTAGCTCAGACCTCATTTATTACAGATAATAGTCAATCGTCCTCTTCCGTTTTAACACTTTAATGTCCTTGTATAACACTGAGTGCTGATGATTGTACATACTTGTACTGCCTCGAGAATTTTAGCCTTTTGCTGAAGTGAAATCAGGTGCTGTCCTCCAGATGAGACATTAAACCAAGGGCCCATCTGCCTGTTCAGGTGGATGTTAAAGATCCCATGGTTCTATTCGAAAAGAGAAGGGAGTTTTGTCTGGTGGTCCTGGCAAAGAATCCCCCATAAATTTTGGTCACTCGCTCCATGGCTGTTTATGGGACATTGATGTGAGCAACAGGATGCCGGGTTTCGCCCACAAAATACACAGTCAATCTACTTTCCAGTATATTCTGTGAAGTACTTTGAGATGGCTCAATGATTTGATTAGGCACTATATCAAATGCAAGAATTATTATTATTAAAATGCATTCACTTTTTTTTCCAAGGGAAATCGTTTTGAACCCTTTAAAAGGCTGGTGTAATGTTGATGCACCAAGACGTGAATGTTTCTGTTACATAAGAAATCCGTTTTTCATTGACAGTTATTCATTTACCTTGATGTAAAAATCAACGTTTTTGACGAAAACAGCATCTTTAAAGCAAGGATGCGTTCTAGGCTATTGCACAAACTACTTATTGGAAATCCTGTTTAATTCATCACAATGAAAAAAGTATAAAGCTGAAAAATTCTTATCTATATATAGTACCACCACTAAATTTGACCCACTCCGTCAAATCTTTTAAACATCAATTAATTCACTGCTGGGACTATTAAGAGCTTGTTGTACATCGGTGTAATTGGGTTGGATATGAAACTCATCTGTTCCCGAGTGAGTGATGACCTGAATTTCAAAGCCTTTTGGATTATAGTCACAGTGAACTTTTCCATATTGTTTCATGTTGGAATACGAGCCCAAACCAAGCATGAAACCTGTCGCACTTTCATGAGGAGCATCAGTAGATTGCCGAACAACTACTGAACTACAACAATGGAATCTTTCCCATGATGTAGATTTTTGGTGTGAATTTGAACATATGCATACTTGCGAGCAATCCAGCAGGTTTATTTTCTACACCTAGGGACTTTTAAGGTAAACGACCTGGCACTGGCTTCATTGTTCAATTGGCTTACTGGTACTAAAGCCAACATCAACCCAGATAGCTCTTTTTCAAGAACGTTTTTTGACCTTGCATTCACTCAGTGGTGAAAATTAAGTATTTGTAGATTCTAACTGTATACTCCATGTCACAGTAAATCCTGTGAACCACCTTGAGATGTTCTTCCAAAGCGATAAGGCCCTATACTCCTTGCTTTCCAAATAAGACCTCATCGGCCAACCATTGTATAAGGGTTGTTGAAAACCGATCTCAGCATTACCACAGCGTTTGCAGGTGAGGTAGGACAAGAATGAAATATTAGCAGTTTTATTTTATCCTCCAGATTATCATTTATAAACCAGCTACACTGCCCTCAGGAGTTAAGATGTAATTTTTCAATGTCTCTGCTTCGAAAAGCTTTTATTGTCACCTTGGATTTTTTTTCTGAAATAACCATTTCTCTTTCTTGTAGGCAAGTTGTATGAAACCGGTGGCTGCGATATGTCACTTGTCAACTTTGAAACTGCCCCAAGAAGATCAAACAACATATGGTGAGAGTAACTGAGAAAAAGCAGCTAATCCCAATTTAACTGATCTATTCTTTCACATCCAGTCCTGTGACATTCTCAAATCCCTGTTCCAAACCCAATAAGATCAAGACCTACAGAATATTTTCTTGGACCTCTTCATTCTAGATACTATTTTTTTTGGAATAGATGTTCCTGCACGTATTTTTATCAGAATTCTTATCTTTATAGGAATCTATTGGGAAATTAGCAGGGTAGGTGGGATGGATCAATGGTGCACTCCTGCCTGAAACTGTTCCTGTATTTCCAGCATTGGTGCTGGTCCACAGTTCAGCCAGAAGCATTATGACAAGGGAGAGCAGAAAGGTTGGCAGTTTTTCTGTTGAGTAGTAACAAAATTTGTCACCATGCATGTTTGGCAGCATTGAAGATCTACCAGTGCAAGCATTGTAAGGTAACCTCTGATGCCAAAAACTTAAGCAGCAGCCGCCTGATCAGACTATCCAGACTTAATAGGGTTTTTGTCTTTGATCTGGAACCAGTTTGGAATGTGATCATAAAATGCAGATGAATGGGATTTATATCGTGGCATGGAGGATGGGCCAGTGGTTATCTTTTTTGACTCCTTTTCTATCACTTCAAGGGGATGGTGTGGGCTATTTACAGCTTGGGGTATTTAGCACTTCAAATGTGAAATGTCAGGATGTCATCTTCTGAAGATTAAAATCTTCCTGTTTTCTCTCTTTGAACATTCCAGTTAATCATAGGCTCAGCCAAGTTAATAAAACCACAAAAGTTCCAAGTCAACCAGACACTGACCTTTTCCAAATGTCATTTGTGGCTCTTACCCAGTCATAGAACAAAGTAGGATTTATACCTTACACTAACGAACTCTCTTCTTTTTTCCTCCTTACAGGGACACAGACTCCCATTTATCAAGCTCTACCTCAGTAAGATTTTATCCACATGATCTAGTAAGTATTTGGTATTACATGTGCATGTAAAAACAACTCCTCGTGGAGCTCCCATTATGGTTACATTCCATTTCAAAATATATGGTGTAGATGTGACCCAGAGGAAGGAATGTTGTTGATCTGAACGCTGGGCCTGAGGATACATTTGGATACGGGGAAACCTTCAGATATTCAAGTAATAACTTAATAGTGTTGAAAGTGGTTGTAGTTTTCCCATATGATCTTATGTTCTTTCTTATGTTGCTCCTTTTATACCAGTAATTGGCAATAATGTTCAGCCTTTCTGCTCCACCCTTTGGAACTCTATTCCATAATCCCTTTGCCTCGCCGCCTTGCTTGCCTCCTTCAAGGCACGTCTCAATACCCTCCTCTTCTAACGTGTCTTTGGTCACCCTCCTAACCCCCCACCCTTGTTGCCCTTCACTCCTCCTGATCCTAACCTCAGCTCGGGTCCAAATTATTGATTATCCAGTACCTTGTGACATCCTCCTGGCATGAAAGTGTTATACAAATGTAATTTGTTGTTGAAATGTAAAGCCTAATTTACCATAAAGCAGTTTGAAATTACAAAAGGGGGTGGTTTCTGCCTCCTGCAGATATGTAGCTAATGTGAAAGTGGTATTGAAACCGCAGAGGCTTGAAAACCAAAGTAATGCTTGTAAAATTCATTTTAATCTGGAACTGCATTGATTTAAATGCTCCTGAGACACATTGGGCGTGAGTGGCGCTATATAAATGCATTATGGTTTTGAGTGCTTCTAGGTAAGGAAGGGTATATTCAATTTTGAGAGTTTTAATCTGTGAACATGGCTCAGCATTCAATGGGTTGTCACAGATATTGTGTGCTACGATTTGGTTTTCTGCTTAATGATAATGTTGTGAATGGAACATTGGGAATTAATACAAAAATTAGATCCTTCTAATTTCTTAGCTTGACAGCAGTTCACAAGAAATGTAGCTTAATGTACTTGGACATTTTCATCACAGCTTTGAGCTAACACAATTACAGTTGTCTCTTCCACAGATTCGAATGAACAGGTTGTTGACAATTGATCCAGATCTGCTTGAGCAGCAGGATGCAGATCTTAGCCCTGACCTACAAGATCACATGCAACCACAAGAGGAGACCCAGAAAATCAAGCACTATTACAGGTTCTGGATCCTGCCCAAGATCTGGATAGGAGTGAACTTTGACCGCCTAACACTGTTAGCACTGTTTGATAGGTAAGATCCAATAAATACTCCGCCTGAAATGGTTAGGAGATCTTTTGTCGAAGTTGTGTCACAATGTATAATGGGTGAATTCCTCTGCCTCAGAATCAGCTTTCAGCCACTTTACCCTCACCCTCTGGAACTCTCCCTCTGTTCATCTGTAAAACACTTTGAGATAATCTCCTACTTGAAAAGAAGCTACAAATTCATGTTGCTAATGTCGAAAGCATAAGATTGTGTTGGGCTTGAGGACAGAGCTGAGTGAATTGATCAGTTCAGAAGGCAACCAGCAAGTACAGAGAAATAAACTCAGCAAGTCATTGCCAGTCTTTTGAAGAATATAAACATAAAATGAGAAAAGCTATTCAGCCTTTCAACAGTCTACACAAAACCTTCTCTATGATCGACTTTATAACATTCCATCTCCACGTTGAACCCTGAAGTCATCAAGTAAAGTTTTGTCATCTCCCATTCTTGAGGCTGCACTATTGAAGTCTGGCCTCCATTCTCAGATCTGACAACTAGGAATTCATTGTGTTCTGCAAAGTAATTGTCACCTCAATCCTTGTCGATCTCTATATCCTCTCTATAACATTCTCAACCAAATATTTGTCCAATTATGTTTTTTTGAAGAAGCTTATTTTAATTTGTCCACAAAATAAACAGTCAATCGACTTTAAAGTATATCCTGTGAAGTGCTTTGAGACGTCTCAACGGCGTGATAAGGTGCTATATAAAATGTAAGGATTATTAATTCTGAACCTATATTTTTTTGGATAGATATTGTACCGGGTCTAGTTTCTGTTCTATCATTTTATTCTTTACATTTGATAGTGCCTTTTCGTGTCAAAACTTCTGAAAGAGCTTTGAGGTTTTTCGTAAAGTGTGGTCATCACTGTATTTGTAGGCAAACATGGAGCCAATTTGCACGCAGCAATGTCCCACAACAGTCATGAAGTGAATTTTGTTTTAATCTGGCAGATTGTTGGCCAGAACACTAGGGGGAAAAAAATTCCATTTGCCTTTGAGTAGTGCTGTGGAATCTTTAATGTCCAACTGACGAGGTAGAAGGACCTCATCTCATCTGAAGGTTAGCACCTCTGCCAATGCAGCATACTCCCAACACTACAAGTAATGTCAGTCTAGACTATGAGCTCAAAGTCTCTTCTCTCAAATTGCACTATGGATTCAAACATAGAGGAACTCATGGATTAAATCCAAACCTCCAAGAACTAAAAGTTCATGTTCTGAAGTTGCGAAAGGCTCTGCACTTCTATTTACTGTGTCTGCAGTGAATCAAAGCAAAGTCAAGACAGTTTATATCCTTCCTGAAGGTTAGACTGCCAAATATTTGCAGCCAGACTGTAGTCAACAGTGGACAACTGGGCACAATGTCTCTTCAAGATTCCTTAGGAGAGCAAGCATCGGGGTCTTTAGGATTTAGCAGCCAACAAGCCTCTCACAACGAGTCTCAGTCCCTCTTTACCCTTCTCTGCCTCTCCTTCCCCCTCCCTCCACTCCCACAAGGGAAAATAAACTCATTTTCCCTTAACTGATCCCACCTGATAGCCCAGCCACTATCTGGAGTTCACTGAACATGTTCCACCGGAATTTACCGTAAACACTGGAAGATCTCAAATGTGAATTAAATTTCCAGATCATTGTGCCCTGATAAAAATATACAATGCTGAAACTGTACTGAATTCTGTTTTTATTATCAGCACAAACAGTTTTTCGCTTTTACCTACTTCAGCTCTTACCTGTCCCAGTACCAGAGTAGGTGGTGGAGCTCACTGTATATTTGACAGCTTGTGGACTTTCATGAGTTTAGGCAGTCAAATAACAAACTCGGCAAACTTTTTTTCTCTCCCAAATGTGAACGAATGTGTCCCTGTCTAGCTCTTTACTGCCCTTTCCTTAAAGTGTGATTTTATAGAAAATTGTAATAAAATATAAAGGAAATTTTATGCAAGATTGATGTGGAATGATTCAGTCAAACTTTGTATATCTGACTTGGAGTTCCCACAGTTTGACAGTTGAACGCTAATATTTCTCATTTGCTCCCAGGAATCGTGAAATTATGGAGAATGTTTTGGCCATCGTTTTGGCTGTTCTTGTGGCCTTCCTTGGATCTGTTTTGTTAATCGATGGCTTCTTTAAGGACATTTGGGTCTTCCAGTTCTGCTTGGTTATTGCCAGCTGCCAGTATTCACTCCTGAAGGTGATCCTTGTTTTGAAGCCACTATTATTTCACTTTATTTCACCTTGTACAATGGAATATTCACAATTTTAAAATGATAATTCTCTTTCAACAGAGTGTGCAGCCTGATTCTTCCTCCCCGAGACATGTAAGTAAAATTGCAAAATTGCAAAAGGGATTAAGGGATATGGGGATAAGGCAGGGTCAGGTTATTAGCTGGAGTTAGATTAGAAGATCAGCCATGATTGAATGGCGGGTTAGGCTCGAAGGGCCAAATGGCCTACTCCTGCTCCTACATGTTATGTTAAAAGATTTAGCTGTTTGGACAAATGAGCATGTTTTGTTTTAAGAACAGGATAGTAAAGCTGTTTTGGTTCAGTTGGGTGTGGCCAATGTGTGTTATTTCCTAACCTGAGGTCACTGACCAAGGATCGAGCACTTTCTACTCTCATAAAAATCTGTTATCTTGAATATGTGACCAGCTGCTTTCTCCTCCTTTTCTTTGCACTTCTGGAAAATGCAATTATTCATCCTGCAAATATCGCAAGTTAAATGGAAGTCGCAAATAATGCTTCCCCTCCCCTTTTTCAAAATATCGTAAATAAGAGCCATTATCTTCCAGTAACTAAAGCTTAACTTGTGGAAACTTTGGGTTTGCTGTTAGCTTGTGAAATCAAATGTATTTAACAGCAGTTATACTGTATCACGGCACATTAGTTACCCCTCCCCTTCCACACGGAATACTCTAACCCAAAAAAGTGTGTGGACGATTAGCTGTACTCATGATTTTTGAGGTATTCAAATTGCACTTGTTTTCACAAGCGAAATATTTGCTGCTTTCAATACATGCTGACCAAGTTTCCAGTAAGGGTCTGCTATGGAAGTACAGTTTGGATTTGGGGAACTAGAGTGTATGTAAAAGAGTTTAAGGGAAGTTGGAGTAGGCACCGGTATAGGCTTCTTGGGCTGAATGGCTGTCTACTTGTTATGTAATTTCTATGATCGTATCTCGTGGCAATTAAAAGATAAATCCGTACCTTCTCCCACAGCTTGGATTTGGTTAGTTTCAAAACTACCAGCAATGTAATATCATGTCTTTGACAAAGCATAGAGCAGAACCTTTATTATTAGCTTGGCAGCATTGAAAGTTTGTATCATTGCTCTGCCACTTTGCCCCACATAGTGTTCCCGAAACACACAGTTACGCTGCAGCAAAGATTGTGATTCAAATGTTATTGAGATATTAAGAATGGGACATTTGCCAAACTCAGTTTAAAGCAATTTTGTTTTATTTCTGCACTGCTCGCTCTGCAGGGTTTAATTCTTGTCATGAAGGGTCACAGCGATGGTTTGTTTTCTTTATGCTGGCAACACTGCATATTTCTTTATGCTCACAAAGTGCGGATGGCAGTAAATAATGCGGGGTGGGGGGAAATTAGCCACTGTATATTTGAAGGTTTTATATGCAGTGGGTACTATAAAAACATAGCAACAGTTCAAGCTGGAGTGAACCATTAGTCCATTCAGCCTACGCAACTTCCCAAAAGACTCATTCATTGTATCATCTCATCATTTAATATCCCTGAGTCTTGTCAGTTTCCAGGAACTTGTTACTTGGTAATTCAGATCACTTGCAGTTAAGGCTCAGCCCCTCGCCTCTTATAAGCAGGCTAAATTAGTGTTAACGACTCCTTAAAACTGCCCCCCGAAGGTTTGGAAAGATTGTTTTCATATAGCACAGCACAGAGCCATTCTGCCTAAATTCTTCACTGATATTTTTCTCCACGTCAGCTCCTGAATATAATCATCTCTCCTGCTCCATTTTAATATTCCTCTTTTCCAAGCCCTTGCTTCATTTTTTTAGGAAATTGTGATTTTGTTTTAATGGAGGTATGTTATTATTTTCTATCCCCAAATGCATACACTCACTGGTTGTCTACATTTAAAATAATTGGCTTTATTTTAGTAGAACCTTAAGTAAAATGCTATGTCTTGAATCTCTTTGTTTTCCCTCAGGGTCACAATCGTATTATAGCCTACAGTAGGCCTGTCTATTTCTGTGCGTGCTGTGGTCTGATCTGGCTTTTGGATTACGGGAGTAAACACACCTTGATCACGAGGTTCAGGTTGTACGGAGTGGCTTTTACAAGTCCCTTACTTTTGGCTTCAGCCAGAGATGTCGTAATGGGTAAGGAAACTGAGATCAGATGTTTGCCATTTAGACTTTCTTTGGGAAAAATATATCAATCCCTATTTATACATCATTTTTAATGGTTTGTAAAACCGAGACGGACCTTCGGCCTAAAGGGCTGAATGGTCCATTTCCACCCCGCACTGCAGGGTTCCAGGAGGTTACCACCTGCACACCACCGCACACAGACACAGGGCAAGAGAGAGACACCCCTGCCCTCCCCCCACCACCATCTCCCCCCCCCCCCCCCACACACACACACACACAACTACAGAGGAGAAAGAGAAACACAGACAATGTCAACAGCGGGGCCTCAGGGTGAGTAAAGCCCATTTGCCGCTCGCACCTCCCACAGTAACAGCATTGAGTTAGCAGCTAGCAGCAACGCGCAGAGGCCAGGGGCAAAGCACAATGTGCTTTTACAGGTTTGTAGCGGAGGAGGCTGTTTGTAGCAGATTCCGCAGAAAAATTGCGGCCACACTTTTCTATTGGCCCAGGTTATAACTGCTTTTGAAAGAACACTTTGCAATGACTTGCAACGTGACCATAGCAATCAGAGGCCAGCTGCTGCAGTCAGCGGACTGTGCTGTGGAGTGTAAACTAGCTACAGATAAGCAAATCATGGGCAGCATCTGGAGTATTGTAGTAAATCCATGGTCGAGCATGGAACTAAAACTTGAATCTGGTTTGTAATTTCTCAAACATTTTTGTGTTGTTTAATATACTCCTTGTTTAAGAAGGTCATTTGCTCAGGTATAGATTAATTCACTTTTATATTCTAATGAGAGACGTGCTGGTTTACAGGGACAATATAGACTGAGGTTGCTGCTTTGTAGCCACAATTCTTAAACAGCCATTACAGGATTAGCAGATGTAAGTACTTTAAGCAAAAGCAGGAGTCCGAATGTAATTTGTGCGCAGTGAATCCAATGTTGTATCCTGTCTGAATGATGAACGATTGGGTTTCTATAAAGTTAGGGAGCTCAGCGAAAAGCAAAAAATATCATTTTTGCCCTTTTTTGTTATAATAGACACAAGTTGCACAAAGCTCTGTTTTGTACCATATTTTCAATTTGAGTTGAGCTGATGACTTGAGTTCAAGGAAATAATATTGCCATTTGGGATCACTGCAATTATTCAATGATGGCTGCTTAACAAACATGCAGATAATGGGAGCAATTTGGTTGCTATGGTTGTGTTCCTATTTGTTATATAAAAAGCCCTGTGAATTGAAACATCTGCTCAGCCCTCATTTACATTTAGTACAATCAGCTATTAGGTTAATGATTCAGTGAAGGAACACTTTGCTCACTTTGGGAGTATTTTTTATTAAGAAGATTATACCGTATTTAACCATAGATTAAATTCTTAGATTTGGTTTTATGATGGGGGGGAAAAAAGCGAATAAATGCTTTCAAAGCAAAAAGACGTGATGGAGAGTGTCTTTTAGTAACCAGGCACATCTCCATTGATTTGATGCAAAATAATAGAATAATAACTGGCATTTGATATAGCTCCTTATCTTGTCGTTGAGACATCTCAAAATGCTTCACAAAATATACTGTAAAGTGGATTGACTGTATTTTTGTGGACGAATACAAACTGCATTTGCGGGAGACCAGCTTTAGCTTTACAATATAGCAGGCCCACTCTAATCTGATACTTTTCTATTCAGTATCCATTTGTTCATTGCTACTGCTGATATTATCAACATCTGTCCTACATTTGTAAGGTATTAGGACAGTTCAATCTCAATCAGAGCTGCTATAATCATACAGTACAATTGCATCTTTAACCTTTATGTTGTCCGTTCAGCTCGAGTGTCATGTGTCCCTGTACTGCCACAGACCCTGCTATTCCATCCAAAGCCCTTTTGCTGCTCACCTTTCTTCATTGCCAGTACATGGAAGATATGTACTTAAGCGTTCAATTTTTTTTGTAGTGATAGAACATCAATAAGTGCTCAGAGACGCCGTCCAGCGTGAAGGGCACTATATAAATGCAAATTGGTGTTGTTATCCATACATGTAGCATCCAATTTCTATGGTCCCTGTTGATATCTGTGCAGGATATAGTATAATATTGGTGCCTACCTGGTACCTGTGTACCCCTTGTGTTCCTTGTGCTATTAATCATGTATATGTAGAGTACCTGCTCTGTTAAACGTCTGGAACGTTTTATCCTAATGTTGACCCACAGCTACAACTCAGTACAAGTGGTGCCTATGGCTGTGCTGCTCAAGTTCCGGTATAGAGAATCCTCGCACTGGCTGAGCTTTCCCCTGTTTTCTCATGTTAATATTTGATTTTACTTGTTGACCTTAACTATCCTTGATTGTAACGATTTCTTTTTTTACTTTGCAGCATTTACGCTTTGTTTCCCTGTGATCTTCTTCATTGGGCTGCTTCCACAAGTAAATACCTTTGTGATGTACCTATGTGAGCAACTTGATATTCATGTGTTTGGTGGGAATGGTGAGTTTGCTATACAAATGTAATTTGTTGTTGTTTATGACTTATTTGCGAATTGTTCTTGAATTGCTGAGTGCCCAGGAGTTACTGTACATCCAATTGGTTGTTCCGGACAGGGCTTACCTCTCACTCCACCTCCTTGTGCTATTGAGGGCAGGCAGGCAGTATATCTGGTTGCCAGCCTCTGCTAAATCAACTGATAACCTGTGTAAGATTTCAGCTGCACAAGAGTTGTGAGATGCACAAGAGTAGCGTTGCCTTTCATGGAAATGGAGTTCGCCCTTAATGGCATTGATGGTTGCAAAAGGTCTCCCTTTTGCATCTCCTAATTTTATTCTGGCCATTGGCTTTACCAACTACTCTTTTTATTATGCAAAAACTTTCATGTCAATTTGGAACCAGGTAGCTGTTTGCATTAAAGATGCTTCTTACAAAATAAACCCATTTTCTAGGCAGATGTTCAGACCTCTTCTATTTTTACTCTTCAGCCACCACAAGCCTCCTCGCATCACTTTACAGTTTTATTCGGAGTATCTTTGCAGTGGGTTTGCTGTACGGCTTGTGTTATGGTGCCCTGAGGGTAAGTGTGCTTGTGTCTGTACGTTATAAGTGATTTATCTGTTATCAGTTGTCTCTTGCTTTCCATTTTCCCCATTTTTCCCTCCCCTAAACTAGATGTCCTCTTTGGCTCCAGGACCAAAGTGGTCTGTGTCTGGTGAGGATGGCTGAGTGAGTGTGCAAGCTTGTTTTGCAATTGAAGTTCATGATTCACAGCTGAGAGTACAGCATTATTACAATTGTAACTACCAGCCTATCCCTCTTTTCCTTCCCTCCACTTGGGTGCCAGCTTGGCTCAGTTGGTAGCCATCTGACCTCTGGACCAGAAGGTTGTGGGTTCTGGCCCCACAATAAGACTTGAGGTCACAGTCTAGGCTGCCACTCCAGTTCAGTACTGGGTGAGTGCTGCATTATCAGAGGTACCATCCTTCAGGTGATGTGTTAAACCTAGATCCCACCTGCCTATTCTTTAGGTGGATCTTAAAAGTTCTATTCAATAATAGAATGGAGTTTCTCCCAATATCCTGGCCAACAATTCTTCAGAATAATTAGCCATTCATTCAGGAACCTTCTGTTGTGACGTTCGTCATTTATCTCAGAGTTCTGTCATCCAGTAGATTCTATCTTTCATCAAATGACAAGGTCACTGAAACGACTGAGCTGGATCTGCAAATTATGTGCATTATTTCCGCTGAGCGACTTGAAGTAAACATGTTATTTCTGATGCTTTCCAGGATTCTTGGGATGCCCAACATATCCCTGTCCTTTTCTCTGTCTTTTGTGGCCTATTGGTGGCTGTCTCCTACCATCTGAGCAGACAGAGCAGTGATCCCTCTGTCCTGATGTAAGTGAATTTTACTATTGGATCCTGGGACTCTTTCCTGGCTTTTCTCTATAAGCATATTCTAAGCTGTGGAACAAAGTAAAAATTGATTTACCTTCTGTTAGCCTCTCTCTAACTACAGTCTTTAGATCATTGACGGGTCTCCACTCATTGCCCAGCTCCACTTTTTCATAAAGTAGAAACATAAGGAAGATGAAGGCACATTTAACTGCTGCAAATGGTTTGCAATGAGATCCAGCTGCTCCCTGCCCATATACTCCAGTGTAGGAAAGGTTAATAAAATACATCACTGAGTTACCTCCATTAATTTCATCTAATTTTGCATCTTTAAGTTCTTCTTTAAACAAAAATTGTCTTGAGGCCCAGAATCTTTAGTTACGGCAATGTATTCTTGTTGAACTTAAATGTTTATTTTGCTAGTAAAGAGTTTAACCATTTAATGTAAATACGCATATTGGATAAACTGATGGGGGAGGGAGGAGGTCTACTGAGGATTGAGCATTGGATATCCACACAGTAAAAGCCAATGTCTTTGAATCAAGTCTACAGCTTGCATTAATATATCGTCATTTGTGCGGACTCGTGTCTAAGATGCATTTGATCTGAACAATACTCTTGCATTTGTGTTGGGATTGCAGGTCTTTAGCGAGATCGAAGATCTTTCCAAGTACCAACGATAGGAATCCTGAAGATCCGCTGTCAGAGGTGAAAGATCCCCTCCCTGAGAAGCTGAAGCAGTCTGTTGTAAGTCATCTTTATGAATTACGGATCGGACACACGTGTGTCCCTGATCAATTCCCAGGATGTTGCTCCAGAGGTTCTGGGTTTATTTCAACATAAGTCTGACATTTCTTTGCCAGTAAGACCATTTTATTGAGTAATTTGAGATGATGCGCAGGTGTAGAAAACTCTTCAATGTTGTTTACTTTGGAAGCAGTTCTTTTCAAGCAATGTGGAGAACCAGCTTCCAAGATAAAACTGGATTTAAGAATTTTCTACAATTTTGTGTTGTCTCAAATTTTAAATCTGCAACCACAACTTGCATTTATATAGCACCCTTCATTTGGGCTAGCATGCCAGAGTGCTTGACAGTGGCGGAATCTGACCCCGAACCAGGGTAAGAGGGAGGCGGGGGGATGTGACCGTAAGCACGATCAAAAATGAATGTCTTTAGGTGGAATTTGAAAGTGGGGAGGGAAGGGGCAAGGCAGAGGGATTGAGGGAGGGAGTTCCAGAGCTTTGGGGTTAATCCATAGACTCATACAGGGTATAAACACATTAAATTTCCTGTCCTTATTCTCATGGGCTTATAATGGGATTTCCTCTTCATCCCACTAAGATCTGTAACCTTACTGACCAGTAGAAGATCTGAGCCTGTATGTTGGTTGTAGAATACTTTTATCTCAAAGAAGGTGGTTAACAAAGCGAGTTATAAAGGAGTTAACAATTAAGTGGAGTTACTGAAATGTTGGAGCTTTCAATGATTATTCTTTGTTTGTCTCCCCCCACCACCACCACCAGAGTGAACGTTTACAGTCCGACCTGATAGTTTGCACTGTGATTGCTGTGCTCTACTTCGCTATCCACGTCAGCACAGTCTTCATTGCTCTGCAGGTAAGCAATTTAGGGACTGGTGGAAAATCAAGTGAGTGGTGAAAACGGGGCCCAGTGCAAAATGGTGGCGTCCTGTCGTGTAGGGGTTAGAACACTCGCTTCGTGCTGGTCCTTTCCCCTCATTTTTTAATAGGATTTCCTTATAAAAATGGGGAACAAAAGTCAGTTTGCAGCGATCACTGTATTGCTGAGTCTCACAAGTGTTAGAATATGGGTGTTTATGCCAAGATTACCCACTATGTGGATGTGTTGAGCTGAAGCCAGGGACATCCCATGTGAACAAGGAGACTTCCATATTGTTAAGTGTTTTGGAATGGGTAATTCTGTGGAAAGTAAATCTATTAACTGTACGTTTCTTTTCTTACTCAGCCTGTGCTTAGCTACGTGCTCTATGCTCTGGTGGGTGCAGTGGGATTCCTAACTCATTACTTGCTGCCTCAACTCAGAAAACAGCTCCCTTGGCACTGTTTCTCTCATCCACTGCTGAAAACCAAGGAGTATTATCAGTTTGAAGTGCGAAGTAAGTGTCGCTTCTAACAGATGACGCAAATTCTGTCTGTCCATAAAAGTGGAATGAACAGCTTGATGACATTAATTGTTGCTCTGTAACATCGCCTTGCCCCATGGTCACCTTCTCGCCTCTATTTGGGATGTTACCTTGTTAGAGATGCCGTCCTTCAGATGAGAGGTTAAACTGATGTCTGGTCTGCCTGTTCACGTGAATGTTAAAGACCCCATGACATTATTCATGGAGTTTCTCCTGGTGTCCTAGCTAACAACCCCCCCAAATCAAATTGAGTACTCATGGCAGGTTGAGGGGCACTGCTGTGTACAAATTGGCTGCCGCTTTTCGCCCACAAAATACACGATCCATTTTAAGGTATATCCTGTGAAGCGCTTTGAGACATTTCGACGACATGATAAGGCTTATATCAAATGCAAGGATTATATTATTTTCTCAAGTTAGTAGTTTGGGAGCAGACTTTCAGACACCTCATTAAAACAACACGCAATAAAAGTTGCTGCTTGTATTACTTCCTGTCCGCTGTGTGTGGTTGCTATGCTTGCGGAGTGCTGCTGGCACAGAAATCTGATTAGTCCAAGCCAGAGGCCAGAAATGTGCCTTATTTACGGTATATGTATATACTGACTATTGTGTAAGACACCTGTAAAGAGGTCCACACCGTACTTGATTGTTACCACAGGAACTGACTGTATTGTGACATTTTGCTGAGCCCATAATAACGCGGTGAGACAAACTCAATTTGTCCAGGAAACAAATTAGCTTAAGAGGAAAGCGGGACTATAAGAGAGAGCAAATGGACAGTGTGGTGCTGCAGACACTTTTTCTTCATCAGCAAAGTCATACAGTAGACTTCTGATAACGAGTCGCTCCAGGGGAAAAGGGCTCAGTGACAAGTTTGTCCAGAGTGGTGAGTTAGGCTGATGTATAAACTCATGAATAAATGCGGCCAGGTTAGTGACAGCCTGATGACTTAAGGAGTAGTGATTCATTGAAACAGCATCGAGCTATCAGGAATCTATTGTACTTTGGACCAATATGTGCAGCCTTTGTGAGCTCCAGCGAGTTGCTTGAACCTGTCTACATTTTCCAGATGCTGCTCACGTCATGTGGTTCGAAAAGATGTATGTTTGGCTTCTCTTTGTGGAAAAGAATGTCATTTACCCACTGATTGTCCTCAACGAGCTGAGTAGCAGTGCCAAGATGATAGCTAGCCCAAAGAAACTGGACGCAGAGTAAGGTGTTTCTCTTTATTAATTATTCCCTCCCAGCTTGACTGAATTGTTCCCCCCCCCCCCCCACCCTCTTTAAGTTTCTATTTTCTCCACCCCATCCTTGGGCGTGATTTAGGCGATCAAGCCTCCCAAGTCAGTGACATTAGGTCACTGGGAGACACACCAGCAGCCGGGGTGAGTTGCCTTTTGGTTAATGGTTCTTGAACATAAATAGAAAGTGCTAATCGTGGGCTGCACAACGGCTGACCAATATCGGAAAGGAAGATTTAATGTTCTGGGTATGACTTTCATCAGAACTGAGCTTATTTGCTAACTAACTTTGGGCCATACCTGAAATTTTTACCAGTTTTTTCTGTTTCTTAGTTAGGATTTCTTTAAAATTTCTTTATAAAAGTTGTTTCTTTTTGAGGTATTTGACCTCCTCTCCCACTCCCCCCCCCCCCCCCCCCCATTGGTAAATAGTAAAGCAGCCTGGCGAGCCATCAGACGGCCATGGGTTTATTATAAGGTGCTGTTGTCTATTTATTTTGGTATTTTGATTCACATCCACAAAGTTTGCCCTTTTGAGTGGACCTCGTGATTTGGATCACATATGTTTAGTCTGCTTTGTTGGTTATGTTTGCCCTCTGTAAGTATGGTACTCTCAAGAACCAATTCTGTATTGTCTTTCAGGTTTGGTGCTTTAATGATCACAGTAGCGGGGATGAAATTGCTCCGATCTTCCTATAGCAGCCCCACATACCAGTATGTGACTGTCGTTTTCACAGTGCTCTTCTTCACCTTTGACTACAAAGCATTTTCAGAGACTCTGCTTCTGGACCTCTTCTTCATGTCCATACTCTTTAGCAAGGTAAGTTACAGAACAGGTTCCTAACAGTGAGATGTCAAAATATTATAATTTTCAAGTAAAAGATTGCTATGTAACCTGATGTTATGCTGATGTTTGAACAAGCTCTTCACCTTCTGAAAATCCATTTTGCACCAAATTGTGATTCTTGTGGACTGATCTGCTAACATGATGGACTTGTTAAATAAACAAAATTATCAGCTTGAGATGTATTTTAAAAAAGCCTTCATCATGTAAGACTAAAGTCCCATATTAACTTAGAAGAAAAAATGTCAGTCTGTTCATTAATAAAACTCAATTATTCTACCACAGATGACACACAAAGTCTCTCCAATCACGACTCTCTCTCACTCAACTCGTATACCCGATACTTATTAGGATCTTATAGTGAAGGCCCTGAATCATGTTGGTAGAACCCCTAGGAGCAGGTTTCTTGTTTGCCCTTTCAGCAGCCAGCAGTTTGCGCTCAGTCTTGGATTGAAGAGAACTTAAACCACAACTTATTTTGTAAAATAAGTTCTCTGTGATATAATATTCTGTTGACGTGTGAATTCATTGTTCTCGCCAGCTTCGTGTCCCCTGCCGATACGACCCACATCAGTGGGTGAGCTTTCAGGCATTCTGCCCTGCTCTGTGGAACTCCCATCCTGGAATCCCTCCCTCCGCCTCCCTACCTATCTGTTGGAGCAAGCTTTCGTTCCTCTTCTTCCCAACCCCCCACCCTCTGTAATCAACCGGGATGCCCAGTTAGCTGTGTAAAAATTTTTTGAAAGATGCTATGTAAATTGTTGTTGTTGCATTGTGAAGTTGAATACATTGACAAAGCTCCCATTTCTCCTTTGATTTCAGTTATGGGAACTCTTCTACAAACTGCGATTTGTTTACACCTACATCGCTCCCTGGCAAATCACATGGGGATCAGCGTTTCATGCCTTCGCTCAGCCTTTTGCTGTGCCTCGTATCCTTTCACTAAGACATCCTGCTAGTCATGAATTATTTATATTGCTCATACCTTTATTTACTATTCAGTTTTCTTGCCGCGTATTGAAGAGCAGTGTAGGATTATTTTAGAAATAGTGCCACACTAACTCACTTAGATCCAGCTTTAGAGAAGCTTGATTTAAACCACCCACTACACGTTGACTGGAGCTGAGGGGAATCTGCCCAATGTGCAACTTAGCACATACACAGAGCTCTGCTAAACCAGTGCTGCTTTTCAGAGTATTAAAGAACATGTTGTTGAGCATCCGCTTTAAAGGAACATTTCTGAATTGGCTCACACTGTTTTTCTGCTGTAGTGGTGTTGAGGTGATCTTGTTTAGTGAAAGAGTATGAAAAATAAGGGTAAATACATGGCATGCTGATCTGGAATCTCACAGCCACGACAATACAGGCAGCTATCAGCTGCTGGCATTACCCAGGACTCTGGATAGAGCCAGCTTGTTTTTTGTTGGGAGCTATTGGTTCTGGATACATGTTTTGTGTGTTGCTTTTAGACCTTCTCGTAGTAGAATCAAATGGTAGTATTAGATTGAAATTGCTGTGCGCATTGGCTGCTGCGTTTCGCCCACAAATATACGGTCAATTCACTTTACAGTCTATTCTGTGAAGCACTTTGAGACGTCTAGAAGATGTGAAAAGCGCTATATCAAATGCAAGGATTATTATTATTATCAAATGCAAGGATTATTATTATATTGTCATTGTAGATACTGATCTCGACACAACAGGAAGGAAATTCTGAAGTTTTGCAGACGCCAGAGAGAAGCACCTGAGATATTTTATAATAATAATAATAATAATAATCCTTGCATTTGATATAGCGCTTTTCACGTCGGGAGGACGTCCCAAAGCGCTTCACAGAACAAACTGTAAAGTGAATTGACTGTATATTTGTGGGCGAACGCGGCAGCCAATTGCGCACAGCAATGTCCCACAAACAGTCGTAGATTGAAAATGACCAATTTATTATTGTTTTTGGTTTTGGAGGGATTATTATTAGCTCTGTGTGGAGTAAGGAAACTTGCCCAAGGTTTCGCCCTGCCTGGAAATGAACTCAGGTCTCTCACTTGCAAAGCGAGTGCTCTAACCACTGAGCTACAGGACTCCATGTAGTGCAGTGCTTTGGTGCCCTGTGTCTTATGATTATTACAGGCTTCTTCATTCCTTATCTGCTGCTTCAGATTCTGCCATGTTATTTGTGCAGGCGATGGTGTCGGCTCTCTTCTCAACTCCTTTAAATCCATTTCTGGGAAGTGCAATATTTATTACTTCATACGTTCGCCCAGTCAAGTTCTGGGAAAGGGATTACAAGTAAGTGCTCATTGAAGAATGTGATGCACAAAGTATTTACCATCACCAATATGTCTCCGCTTCGGATGATAGCTATTTGTTCAGTAAATGGCAATTTGTGGAAACAAATACTGTTATGGTTTCCTCTCTTATTCTGATGACACACAGCCCACATCAACAAGCTGTTATAAAGGCCATGTGGAACAGGATAAGCTGTTATTTTTCTTTCCTCTCTTCACTTTGCACAAATTTTAAGATTTAAAAGTGCAGCAGATAGGTGGTTGGGAAGTAACGAGTACAGGGAAAAGACAGGGTAAGTTTGATTAAAAGATCTGCCATCTGAAGAGCTATCTGGTTGATACAATTGATCCAAACCTATTCCTCTGAAGCCTTTCTTTCCCTAAACTGGAGGGAAATATCCTAGCCAGGATCAGAGAAATGAAGGGAAGTCAGATTCTGGTGACTGTGGATCCACTTGATGTACAGTAATACTGGCATAAGTCTGATCTGTATAAATCGTATAATCGCCTAAGATAATTCCTTCAAAAATGCTTTAATAATAAATTGGTCACTTCATCCACGACTATGGGACACTGCTGTGTGCAATTGGCTACCTTGTTTCACCCATAAAATATAGAGTGAATTCACTTTAGAGTATATTTTGTGAAGTGCTTTGAGACATCTTGAAGACGTGATAAGACGCTATATCAAATGCAAGGATTATTATTATTATTAGGCTCTCAATCTTACAATGAAAAGGATTGCTTACTAAAATTCATATTAATAGGCTCCAGTGTTGCTAAACCTTAGAGTTCTGAATTTCTTACAATTTGCCCAAAAAAATTGTGTTTCAAACACAGTGGCAAAGCTTATTGTACAAACAGACTCATTGCACTCTGACACTATCCTGCATGAAGGGTGTAGTATGAATGAAGGTAGTTGTTGCCCTATGATAAATAAAATGCTGGATTATTTGGGCAAAATACTACTTCAGTTTTCATTTTTTGGTAGCACAAAGCGGGTCGATCATTCAAACACCAGGTTGGCATCTCAGCTCGACAGGAACCCAGGTAAGAAAGTACAAGCTTCAGGTTGATCTATATGAACAGCTTAAGAAATGTTTTTAAACCATTGTACTTAAGGCTTGCAGAATTCACCTTCGTCGAAGGAGGAAAAACACAAGCAACATTTCAAAGCCAGATTTATTTTTAACTGATAAAATGTCCCTGAAAATCAAGTGAAAAAAGGTTGAAATGTGCAATTTCTGATTATTCAAAAAGAGAAGAGAGTTTCTCCCAGTGTCCTGGTCAACAATCTCTCAAATAAAACTCCTTTGAAAAGCCAAAGGAGTTGAAACAGTCATTACTTTAAACGTTATAATGCTCTGTTCATTAACCTGATTATAATGTTAGCCTGGCACAGTAGTAGCATGCTCTCCTCTGAGTCATTGTGGGTGCAACCCCCGTCTCAGGACTTAGACTCACATAGTCTAAGCTGACAGTCCAATGTCATGCTGGGGAGGTTGTGATGTTGGAATTACCTTCCTTTGGATGAATTGTTAAACCGAGGTCTGTCTGCCTGTTCAGGTGGAAGTTAAAGATCCCATAGCACTATTCGAGAAGGAAGTTTCTCCCGGTGTCTTGGTCAACAATCCTCCAAAGAATATCAGTCACTCACTCCATGACTGTTTGTGGGACATTGCTATGCGTATACTGGCTGCCGCATTTTGCCTGCAAAATACACAGTCAATCCACTTTACAATATATCCTGTAAGACCTCTCAATGACGTGATAAGGCACTCCTATCTAATGCAAGAATTATTATTATAATTCCTGTTCTTTCAAGCCTCTAATGCCTTTCTTCTGTCTTGTAGGCTCTGATGATAACAACCTAAATTCCATCTTTTATGAGCATTTGACGAGATCCCTGCAGCATAGCCTGTGTGGGGATCTGATGCTGGGACGTTGGGGCAATTTCAACACCGGGGATTGTTTCATTCTGGCCTCAGACTACCTCAACGCACTGGTTCACCTTATTGAAATCGGGAATGGGCTGGTCACCTATCAGTTGCGGGGTCTGGAGTTCAGGGGTGAGTAGCCTTTACTTTCACAACCCTGACTTCAAAAGAATTTAGGTTCCATTGATATTCCATCTCTGAAATGAGGCACGTAAGCCAGTTCTGTTAACTTCTCCATATCTGCTTTTGTTGGGCATTGTATTTATTATCTTTGTGAATTACTTATCTGTATATTTTGGGCAAGTTTGGGTTTTGAGAAGAGTATTTCCTGTGATGGGATTTTAGGATGATACAGGACAAACTGCTGTTTGGGAATGTACCTGCTGGTGTCTGGGAGTCGAGGACTCTGTTACCTATTGGGCTATTGAGATAAGCTCATCAAATTCTTATCTTTATTGTAAACTAATATTCTTGCCCCCTGTATGTAATACTCTCTGGAATTAGGTAAACTGTTGAGTCCCTCTAGAGGGTGCATTCCATTCCAATACATAGGAATTTCCATGTGAGGTGTGCTGCATGAAACTCTGTCTGGTTTGGATACTCTTCAACAACGTAATGGGGCCTGAATGTGTGTATCATCCGCTAACCAAATATAAGCTAACAAATGCTACTGTTTGTGCATGAAATTCAACTCCTTGGTAATGGCTTGGGCGTTATGTCACTAACATTAACCATCATTCGTCTGTCACAGGTACCTATTGTCAGCAGCGAGAGGTGGAAGCGATCACAGAAGGGGTCGAGGAAGACGAGGGGTTCTGCTGTTGTGAGCCAGGCCACATTCCTCATACGTTGTCCTTCAACGCTGCATTCGGCCAGCGCTGGCTAGCCTGGGAGGTCCTGGTCACCAAATACGTGCTGGAAGGGTACAGCATCACTGATAACAGCGCCGCTTCCATGCTTCAGGTCTTTGATCTGAGAAAGATCCTCACAACATACTACGTGAAGGTATTGTATCTGGTTATCTCGCAATGTGTAATAGTTCAGCATTACCTGTACAACCTCCGGTTCTCTTGTTATGTTGGGTGCATTGACTAGAAAAGTTATTTTTATTCGTGAATGAAAAGTTTACAGCAGTACACATGGATTTACAGCGCTCCTGGCACTTGTCTCTAAAGAGATATCTGGATTTTTTTAGGTATGGAATTGGAATATTGTTGCAGACAAGGAATCTCCAAGATTGTTTAAATTGATAGATTATCCTGATTTAGTAACGTTGCACTGTAGATGTTTATAATAATAAATAACGTAATCCTTGCATTTGATATAGCACCTTACCACTCTGTTGATACTTCTCAAAGTGCCTCACAGGATATTCTGTAAAGTGGAGTGTCTGTGTATTTTATCTATTGGTACCGGGCAGCAAACAAGGACTTGAGGACTCCCCAATCCTCGTATCACTGTTGTGATGTTTCACTTCAACTCATTGCTGTACCTTCTCCTTTCTGTCCTGAGTCTCTCGTGCTCAGTGCCCCTCCTGAGGGGCAAAATCATACATCACGCAGGGAGAGTCAATCAGAGACAGAAACCACGTTAAGAGGAAGCTACGTTACAGCGGTAGTTAAGAGTCCTTAGAATACAACACATTATAAACTGATTGCGTTGTGTAGGAGCATGTGCTCACTTCTGGGATTGCCACTGTCTTCATCATTGCATTCAGTTCAAACTGTAGAAGGTGTTTGTTTCTTGGTGAAAATGCTCTTTACTATGGAAATGGCCAGTGAGGCAAGTGAGATGTAGAGTGGTGTTCCTTAGCAGAAGAGTTTCTGTGTTTAAATTCCGGTGGTTTCACCAACATCTTCACGTTTGTACCCATCAGAGTATCCTATTCTATGTAACGAGTTCGCCCAAACTGGAGGAGTGGCTTGCCAACGAGACCATGCAGGACGGCCTGCGGGCGTGTGCTGGGCACAATTACGTCGACGTGGATCCCACCTTCAACCCCAACATCGACGAGGACTATGATCACAGACTGGCCGGCATTTCCAGGGACACTTTCTGTGCCATTTACCTCAACTGGATCCAGTACTGCGCTTCCAGAAGAGAGAAGGTACAAGACATTTATTGTATGAATGCAAGAGTTGCCATTGCCTCCTGTGTGTGAATGCTGTATGGCTGAAGTCTCAATGTTTCTGGAATATGGCTCCAGCAGCCTTCCTATTATCTGGGCCAAGAGATCTGTTCTTAATATAGTCCAACCTCACTGTATCCAACCCGGCTTATAACAAACCCCCGATTTTTACAATCCCAACGGCACTCTTTGCCAGTCAAACTCTATTGTAGTGAACCCCTGATAGAATGATCTTTTTCTGCTGGTCCTGAAGGGGTTTGTTATAATACAGAGAGCTTCGACTGTATGTGAGCCCAAGCAGTGCGTGTCTGTGCATTCATCCATGTTCTATGCCGTCCTCATCGAAAGCCCACATACAGACATATTGTCCAGGAAGTGTGTGTCTCTGGCTAGTGATTAGGAAGGTAGACCATGATTGTTTTTTTTATTCCTATCTAGCCTGGGGCCTTGAGGCCAATTGAAGGCCTCTCACTTCCCCATCCCCTTATGCCCAGTTCCTGCTGCGTTAAGCTGCGTTCAATATAAACTGAGATTCAAACTTCCAGTCTGTGTCGCTCACTGGTTCATTCTCCTAATTGCATTTGAATTTCAAGGTTAATATTTTCTAAAGATTTTTTTTAAAAAGTCCCAATCATGTAGGATAATTATGTAGTGAGGCCGACACTGTGACTGATCAGCTGCGAGTCCACTCTTTTCTGCTCTTTGCAGCCTCTAACTTCAGACAAGGATTCTTCACTCATCATTCTGTGTTATGGGCTCAGTGTCCTGGGGAGGAGAGCGCTGGGCACAGCGTCCCATCACATGTCCAGGTACTTGTTCACTCTGATGAATCGTGGCGTGGCAGATTGTTGACAAGAATGTTGGCACAGAGGGGAAGCAGAGCATTGTCTCATGCACTATCAATACACAGGCTATTACCTATAAAGGACCTTGAGACGTTACAAAGTTATAGGCGCTATATCAGTTGCAAGTACTGTGTTTTTTTTATTATTATTAATGCATGTTAGCTCTCCATCCAAGTATTGTTCGTAAGATCACATTCTATCTGAGATTACTACAACAACAAAATTACATTTATAGAGTGCCTTTCACATCGGGGGGATGTCCCAAGGCGCTGAAATTAGTGAACTATAATAATAATAATAATAATAATCCTTGCATTTGATATAGCGCTTTTCACGTCGGGAGGACGTCCCAAAGCGCTTCACAGAACACACTGTAAAGTGAATTGACTGTATATTTGTGGGCGAACGCGGCAGCCAATTGCGCACAGCAATGTCCCACAAACAGTCGTAGATTGAAAATGACCCCAAATTTTTTTTTATTATTGTTTTTTGGTTTTTTTGGAGGGATTATTATTATCTTGTTGATACTCGTCAACAAGGTGATGTCTCACCACTGTAATCATAGACAGACTGAAGACATGGTTGGGAAGAGAGACTGCAGACATGGATGCAGTGGGCATGGAGAGAAGGAATAACATGACCAAATCCAGTCATTTCTCTCTCTCTCTCACATCCTCATCTTAATGAGTTTGGGTACCTCTCACGCATCTTCTGAAGACTACTGGTTAGTTTCACATGTCAAAAGACTCTACCAGTCAGGAAAAACTGTCTGAAATGGTCACATTCCCAAATCATAATCTTACCACCTCTTCCCCTCCCTCGACTCCCCAGCTGCTCTCCTGCTTTGTCCTAGAAGACAGAATGGATGACGTGCTTGAACAGAATTGTTATTGGGGTATAAATTGTGGGAGTTGCAATCTGGATTTACAATGTGGTTGAATCCAGGAAGTGGATTCCTGGATTTACAATGTGGTTGAATCCTGAAAGTAACTGATTGGGCATCACACAAAGCTGCTCCGATGTATTTTCTGGGTGCATCAGAGTGATGTTCCGGGTGCTGATGGGGTTCAATGTTTATATCCTTCGCAATGCGAAGTAACGTTTTAGACCCTTTGCACTTCTGCAGACTCCCCATTTTCTGTCCCCACCCTCTGGAACTCCATCCCCTCTGCCTCACTCCCTCCTTTGCCTCCTTCAAGGTCCATATCAATACCTTCCTCTTCGACCGTGCCTTTTTTCATCCCACCACCTCCCTTGCCTTCCATCCTCCCTGATTGCAACCCCCAGCTCGAATGTAAGCCCTTGACTGTCCAGCATCTTTTGGGGTGTCCTTCTAACGTGAAAGGTGCAAAAAAAAAACAATTTGTTTGTTGTTGCTAAGGTTCCTGGCCACCCTGCAGCTCTCCATTTTAGCCATTAGGAGTGTGGATATTCAGTCCATAGTTTTACCACTCCATAATGCTAAGTAGTCTCCAATGCCTTGCGCTGCCTGTAATCCTTTTTAGAAAGTTGATCATAAAGAAACTTAAAAAATTGAAACTCCTAAGCTTCTGAGCTCCTGGATCTGACATCAATACTTAATGTATTTCCTTCCAGTAACCTTGAGTCCTTTCTGTACGGACTGCACGCACTGTTCAAGGGAGATTTTCGCATTTCCTCTGTTCGAGACGAGTGGATATTCGCTGACATGCAGTTGCTTCGGAAAGTAGTTGTTCCAGGAATCCGCATGTCTCTTAAACTCCATCAGGTAAAGCCTTGAATGTGGAAGCAAATCACTACTGTAAGTTCACCGTAAGCAACAAATTTACTTCCGAACTAAGGAGTTTGATCTGCCCTCACAAAGAGGAAGCGGAGACACTGGAGTTGATAGATGAAGTTGAGGTCCAGATCAGCCATGATCTAACAGAATGGTGGAAAAGGCTCGAAGGGGGGCTGAATGCTGTTCCTGTGGTCACTAGGCTCAAGCCGGGCTTGATCACTGTCTAATATTTCTGTCTAATTCGGTTAACGGCTCAGCAGGCCTAAGCTCGCTCACCAATAAATAAAAGTAAAAGTTTACACTAGCTGCTGTCAGGAGAACATTAGCCTGCACAAGTTGGGAGTCGGTAACTCTTCAGGTCTTTTCAGCAATGAATGAATGAAGAGTTCAGGAAAATTATTTTATAAATTGGGCAGCCTGCTCACACTGTGCAATGGTGTAGAGATGGGGAAGTTTGCAGGTTACGTTTCTTTTTTGCACGCTCTTACTTAGTCTGGGCTGTATCGCTGGATGGGGCCACTGAATCTCTCTGCAGGAAAATTTGATGGATGGTGGGGTGGAGTGAGTGTTAATACCTTGGACCTGAGCCTTTTTTTGGATGGGTGGGGGGTGGTGGGGGAACGAGCTGCTCATTAGCCTGCTTTAGGTGGACTTACAACGATGGGGGAAAATGGCTAATTTATTAGAGAGAGAGAGAGATGCTTTTGTAACTTCTGACCACTAAAGTGTCAATAAATGAATGGCGGCAGTCAACAGCAAGCCGAGAGTTACTTTTACACAGTTAATCCATCATTCACCCCAATTCAAATGCAGTTGCCTACAGTTCACTGCACATTGTTACCTGTATGATGTGTAAGCAGCTGCTGCCTCTTCAGTCAATAACAGCCGCCAGCAGCAAAACATGGAAATTTCCTTTAGAAATGGCAGGTGAAGCAAGCTGCCGACTTAACCTGAGGCCTACAACAGATCATTTTTCTGGAGCCCGACTGGGCGAAAGCTGCTGCATAAATTTATTGCTGTTCAAGAATTCAGGTATCCAGTGATACGCACCTTGTGCTCCAAGCATTCTACAGAGAAATTGTTACCGATTTAATTCCCCAGATCCCAGGAGTCATTTGGATTGATTCCAATTACTTGAATTTGCATTTCATGAGAATCTGTGTGTCTTGGGGCCTCACTCGAGCAAGTTGTTTGAGAATTGCACCCATTCTTTTCCGTCACAGAAGATGTACAGGCTCACAGTTTAGGCTGACAGTTCAGTACAGGGCATTCTCAGAGCCTTTGGAAGAGACGTTAAGGTGAGGTTTGGTTCACAGCAATTACAGTGAAGTGCTTTGAGACATTTCAACAATCAGTGCTCCATCAAATACAAATATTATTATAAAATAGTATTAATTCTTCCATTTGGAATTGTGCCTTTTTATGGCGGGAACATAGCTCAGTGCTTCACAGGATATATTGTAAAGTGTAGAAGGATTTGAGGTGCCAGATAATTGACTTGTGGTTGTGTCCTAAAGCTTCTGCTATTTTTACTCGGATGTTAATGATGCTGTAAATGGTGCTAAATGAACTGCAAATAATGTTTGCGAAGGTCTTAATGGAGGGTTTCTTCACCCATGAAATTGAGAAAATTAAAAACCTCAAGCAAAAGCAGCTGTATGTCAAATGAGTTTGTCTGATAGTCTGTTTATAGTCTTTGGAAAGTTTTGAACATCGAAACAAGTACTTTTAATTGTTTATTGTTAACCCTTTTAGTCAGTTGCAATTTCAGGATTACTGCAAACTAGTTTCTTTACATTTCACGTCCTCAGGATCACTTCACCTCACCCGATGAATATGACGACCCAGCTGTACTGTTTGATGCCATAACATCCCATGAACAAAACCTGGTTATAGCTCACGAGGGGGATCCGGCCTGGAGAAGTGCTGTGCTGTCCAACTCACCCTCTTTGCTCGCTCTGCGACACGTTATGGATGACGGGACCAATGAATATAAAATCATTATGTTGAACAAGCGATATCTCAGCTTCCGAGTTATTAAGGTACGTTGACTTTGACCAATGTGCTGATATACTGGGCACGTGGAGTCTGTTGGCAACAGCACAGGGTGAGATAGAGAATTTAGACAGCATTTCTGTGACTGATCTCTGACCATTAATAAGAATAATCCTTGCATTTGATATAGCGCCTTATCACATCATTGAGATTTCTCAAAGCGCTTCACAGAATATACTGTAAAGTGAATTGACTGTATATATTGTGAGCAAAACGCAGCAGCCAATTGCGCACAGCAGTGTCCCACAAACTGTCATGGATTGATTGACCAAATTATTATCCAGAGCCCTCTTTTCCCTCCTGCCTTCTGCTGCCACAGGAAGGTGAGTGTACATACATTTAAATCAAGGACATGATCAGACTTGGCTATGCTGCCCTCCTCAATCGATCAGTCTGCTAATACTGGCTGTTGAGGCTCGCCTGCGAATAATGGTGACCATGGCAAGGTAACAGGACCATCTGGAGAAGCAGAAAAATGCCTCTGGGAGAGGAGGAGTTGAGGAAATTGGCGGAGTGAAAAAGCTTATGTTATTGACACAATCTACAGCACTTAATGAGTGTTTACCAGAATCAGCTATGGGTCTGGGGTCATTCACTGCCTCAGTTTCTTGTCTAAACTCTCTCTCTCTCTCTCTCTGTCTCTACGTGCAGGTGAACAAGGAGTGTGTCCGCGGACTGTGGGCTGGACAGCAGCAGGAGCTGGTCTTCCTGCGAAACCGCAACCCGGAGCGAGGAAGCATCCAAAACGCCAAGCAAGCCCTGAGGAACATGATAAACTCCTCGTGCGACCAGCCCATCGGTTACCCCATTTACGTCTCTCCACTCACAACTTCCTACTCGGACGCACACGAGCAGCTGAAGACCATTCTGGGAGGCCCCATCAGTATTACAAACATTCGTAATTTCATCATCTCCACTTGGCACAGGTACATCTGCTGACACAGTAGCAGCCTGTGTCTGCTTTGACATCAGCTCATTGTTTGATTGTCTTTGATCACGTCTGACTGGATTACAACTGTTCTCTTTAGGTTACGGAAAGGATGTGGTGCCGGGTGTAACAGTGGGGGGAACATTGAAGATTCAGACGCCGGCGGGGTCTCCAATGCCAGTAACAACGTGACCGCAAACGAGAATCAGAGCAGCACTTCCCACGGTGGATCTGGACCAACTGGCCACGGGCCTGGAGCAGGTCTCCAGCCGCCGCCGCTCACCTCGAACCTGCCCACACTTGGTGAGGCAATGCTATAGGAAGGTGCTCCAGCACTAGTGCATTCACACCTCCATTCATTCTTGTTCACTCATAATCTAGCTGTCATCTGACACTTTCTACCCCATGAATTTATTCTTTGGTAAAATGCCCTCTTAAAAATAAAGATTAGATTCACAGATGGTACAGCTCAGAAACTGGCCATTTGGCCAGTCCAGTTCGGTTGGTGTTTAATCTCTATACAAGTGCCTATCTTGAGATCCTATCCTTAGTTCCATATTCCTCAACTTTATTCTCTAGAAATGTTAGAATCTTTAAATAATGTTTAGGAAATACTGTCTTAAAGATGCATCAGTCGCTGAAATGTTTTAGAGTGATCTCGGGGAGTGCTCTGGAACTCTATTTCAGAGTCCCTTCACTTTTCCTTACCTCCATCAAGGGCCATCTCAAGATCTTCTTCTTTGATCGCACCTTTGGTCGTCTTCCCACCCCTCTTGGCTCCTACCTTTCTTGAATCTAACCCCCAACTAGGGTGCAAACCCTCAATTGTCCCAACATCTTGGGGATGTCCTTTTGACACGAAAAGTACTGTATAAATATAAATTTCTTGTTGTTCACAGTTAAGCTTTTCACTGGACTAGTAGGGGTACAAGATGCTGTCTGGCAAAGTTTTCTTTAAATATACTTATGGTTAATTGTTTAATCGAAAGCAGTTTGCAGGGATTAAAGCAATGTAGACAGCCTTGGGTTGGAAATGAACAAGGAATTATCTTTCCTTCATGATTTCAACAGGAACCAGTCACAGTAGTCACTCAGTGCAATCCAGCCTGGTCAGACACTCTCCTGCCCGTGCCTCAGTCGCCAGTCAGTCTTCATACCGTTACAATGGCCGCCATTCCTCCCTACGGACCTCAGCCACCGGCCTGGTGCCGTGCCGGCGTTCCTCCACCAGCCAGCTGTCCCTGCGAAACCTTCCCATCTCAATCCAGTCTCGGTTGTCCATGGTGAACCAGGTGGAACCCTCCAGCCAGATGGGCACTCTGAGCGTGCAGTGTGGCCTGCCCTCCTGCAGCAGCTCCAGCCAGAGCATCCCCGTCTGCAAACGCAACGCGCTGGCCGGGCTCCTCGGGGCGGAAGGTGTCAGCGGGGCCGACACACAGCCAGGCAGTAACTCCAGCACAGCGTTCAACACTCCGGCCAAAAAAGATGAAATTAACTACAAAGTCCAGGTACAACTTTGTTTTATTTTACTTTAAATAATTATCTGACAATAATGTTGCTCAACAACAACCACAACCTCTTTTGTCGCCACTTCAAAATAGGATGCCACTCGGGAACTGTAATAATAATAATGTCTTGAAAACGTGATCAGATGCTATATCAAAGGATTTTCTGTAAAGTGATGTGAATGTATTTCTGCTCATCTGTTTGTACATTGCAATGCAAGCAAAACATATTAGGAAGCAGATTCATAACTATATTGATTTTTTTGTCACGAGTTCAAGACGCCTCTGAAATAATAATCCTTGCATTTGATATTGCATCTTGTCACATCATTGAGACGTCTCAGTGCTTCACAGAATATATTGTAACATGTGTTGACTATTTTGTGGGCGAAACGTGGCAGCCAATTGCGCACAGCAGTGTCCCACACAGTAGTGGATTGAGTGACCACATTTTTGGGGGGGGGGGGTGGTGGTGGGGCATTATTTGTGAATACCAACCCTGAGTGCTGGATCCCGTGTGAAACAAATTGGTCAGGGTGTGTAATGTATTGTTGTTCCTGGTTATTTGCAGATATTAGACACAAGTCAAGTTATGGAAGCCATTAACATGTCCAAGAGGAGAGAACTGCACTGGCCGGATGAAGCAATCCGCATGAGGGCTGGTCGGAGCAGTTGGAAGGACTGGAGTCCTCAGGAGGGCATGGAAGGCCATGTAAGTGCTGAGCACCTAACAGCAGCCTCTTGTCTAATATCCGTGAATAAAGTGCATGTTCAGCAGATGCAAAGCTGCTTGGTGCAGCACAAGCACGCACGCCATAGAGATTACAGGAGCACAGTACACTGGATACATCGAACGGGGCTTATCAATGACATTGTGCAGAAAAGAGATAAATCAGATTTGCAGTGGAAGGACATAGACAGACCAGGTAATGCTGTATGAGCAAGGGGTTGCAGCAATTTTCATACTAATTGCAGTGTTATCGTATATAAGCTGGACTTTGAAGGTCAGGCTTGTCGGCACCCCCAACTCCTCCCTCCATAGGCTGCAAATCATCCAGAACTCTGCAACCCGTGTCCTCTCTCGCACCAGACTCCATGACCCTATCACCCCTATCCTCGCCTGACTCCACTGGCTTCCCATCACACAGAGGATGCAGTTCAAGATCCTGATCCTCATCTTCAAAGCCTTCCATGGCCTTGCTCCACCCATACCTCTTCGACCTCCAAATCCCCTACCAACCGCCTGCTCCCTCTGCTCAGTGGGCTGTGGCCTGCTTCACGTCCCCCGCCTCACCGCCCCACCATTGGTAGGCAGGCAGGCCTTCCGACACTGCCCCACCCTCTGGAACTCCACCCCACATTCCCTTCACCTTGTCCCTTCTCTTGCCTCCTTCAAGACCCTCCTTTTCGACCATGCCTTCAATTACCCTCCTTCCCCGATCCCGACCCCCAACCCGGGTCCGAAAAAATGATTGTCCAGGGTCTAGGGACGTCCTCCCACTGTGAAAGGCGCTATAAAAACGTAATTTTGTTGTTGAAAGAGTTGAGGGACGGAGCGAGTTGTAGAGATTCTGGGAGGGAAGTAGATGGGATGACTGCTGATGGTGGGGAGGTGGGGTCAGGGCAGGGGGACATGCGGCTGGGTTGGTAGCATCATGCAAACATATAAGCCAGTGTACTCGATAGCAACTGGTGTAGGCAGAGTTAATTAGGAGGGAAATGAAGAGTTGTCCTACTGTAGAAGGCATTTCCTTTTTTTTATCATTACCATTTTCTTCTCTGTTCTTAGGTGATTCACCGCTGGGTGCCTTGCAGCAGAGAACCAAGTAGCAGGTCCCACATAGACAAGACTATCCTGCTGGTTCAAATTGAAGACAAATACGTGGCTATCATCGAGTCCGGAGTCTTGGAATTGGGGGCTGAGGTTTGAAACACTTGCAGCAGAAGTTGATACTGAGAGCAAAGCCTGTTCTGCCATCTAGTGGTCTGAAAGCATCACTACAACAGCTGGAGGCTGGAATGGAATACTGTACCTGGAATCAGCCACAGGGTGAAGAGCACAGGGATGGATGTAGCTTCATGACCTCATCTGATAGGTGTGAGAATTGAGGGAGGGGGTAGGGAGCGAGAGAGAAAGAGAAAAGGAAAACTGCATGAAGGCAGAATTCTGCTAATATATCATTTTGTTTTTAATTTTTTTTAAAAATCTTTTCATTGCATCTCATATACTTTAAAGAACGGTTTTCCTTAAGTTCTTGTTCAGTAGATTACATTGAAAGTGTTGGTCTTGTTATTTATTAATTTTTTTGCCAAAAACTGAGAACGCCATGAATTTCATACAGTGCACATTTGAACTGTCCAAATATTTTTTTCCCTTATTCTTGCTTGGTTACAGTTCTATTGACCATATAAAAGAGCGGCAATGTTATAAGTGACTGTCCGGTCGGACCATTTTATTTTAATTTTGCTCCTTTCCCATTCCTTTGGAGTTGTAAACGTGTTAAAAGACAACTGCACTAAGTAACAGCAATGCACTAAAAACTCTGAGATTCCTCAGATTGTTTATTTATAAATTGCCATTATTTTAAATGCCTTTTTGGGAAGAGAACAGCAATTTACTGACTTGCATTCAATTAAGCTCCGATCACACTTTCTTTCCTGTTGTACTTTCTTTTGACTTGAATTTATTTTGTTAATTGATTTGATCATCAGAACCTATATGTACAGTTGTATGATTTTTTTATCAAAAAATATTTATTACTTTGAACGTGTTTTTTGTTCCCTTTTGCTATAAAGTTTCTGTGTATTCAGGGAGAAAAAGTAACCATGGGTTTCAGCAGTGATTTCACTGGACTGAAAGTGACAGGAAACAGCTATGTTTCCATTGCAGACTGTGCAATTGAATCCCTTTCCCTCAGTGCATCCAAACCACCACTGCGCCACCACACACCATGCATCGGGATGGGCGCTTACAAAATACATAAAACCCTTGTAAATATTCTAGTTGGTGTTTTAAAACAGAGTGGAAGGATTTTTTTTGCAATATATTGCATCTGAAACTAAATACAGTATTGAAAGTTGAGAAATTATGATAAATAAAAGGAATTTTATAATGAAGTGAATCTCTTTTCTGGAACTTTAGTCAAGTGCTGGCTTCACTGTCGTTGCTCAGCCATTGCAAAAGATGTGTGTTAAGTAGCCGATGGGAAATGATTGGTGCATCCTGCTTGTTCCAAGAGTACTCCTCAATCCCATCTTCAACTAGCAATTTAATTTGTTATTATAGTACCTCTTTCTCCTGTCAAGTGATGCATGAGGTATTATTTTATCCTTAAATTCTACAAGTGTTCGTAAGTTTATATTTAATCATTTAAGTCACTCACCAGTGCAAGCATGCAAATGGGGGTTAATTCTGATCTTTCTCTTGTGTTACAGTGGTTTGGACTTTTGCTAAATCATGGTGCTTGTGCTCAGGCTTTAGTACTTAGGACATTTGCATCTCTGGGTATACGTTCTCCAGATACCACTTGAAAGATGTACAATTCAGCCTCTTTCTCAGCTCCACACGCTCATTAATGTCACCGTAACTCTGGTTCCTCAGTTCAGGCCTCGTGGAGAAAAAGTTTTCCTGGAAATACACAAGATATGTTGATGAAATAGATTGGAGAACAGGGATTGATTTAATGCACGCTCAACAGTACTGATGGGTTGTGTTTACATCACTGATGAGACTCATTTACTGGCTGCCCAGTAGATGCTGGAATTTCAGATCAATTTACTGTTTAGGTTTCAGAACTGTGCATTTGCGGGACTGAATTGTGTAGAGATGATGGTTTTGGTTTGGCTCACTTACTAATGTGTGGTACAGGACATTGATGGAACCTCATCAGAAGCAGCAGCACATGTGCCCTTTACTGAAATGGCACCATTACCTTATATTCATCCATCCAGACATGGGCAAGCCTCAGGGAGTTGGACGTCATGGTATCCCGACCTCCAGGTGAACCATATGGCCGCCATTTGCGGAAAATGTGTCCAACACGAGAGCACGGAATTATTTTCAACTGACCACCACACATCCAAATCTGGGTGAGGAAATGTTTTGTTATTCATAGAGAAAATAGGGGCAGGTAAAACCAGTGTTTTTGTACAAAAAGGTTTGATTTTCATTTTACTACTAAAATTCAAGGTCTGCTTTTACAGGTCATACTGTCGGATGCACAAGAACAGAACAAGAGGGCGCAGGTTTAGAATTGCAAAGGACAATTTTAGGACAGATACCAGGGAAATATTTCTTCACCCAGAGAAAATAAACCGGTTATTGGGATGGGTGGTTGAGGCCACTGGACTCATTTTTAAAAAAAAACTGGAGAGTATATATTGGAATGGTGAGATCAAATAGGGTGAAGGGCCTCTACATCCCAGTCAAATTTTATAATAATCCTTACATTTGATATAGCACCTTATCACATCATCAAGACATCTCAAAGTGCTTCACAAGATGTACTGTAAAGTAGTGTGACTGTGTCTAGATTGTATTACAGTGCAATAGCAGGTTCATTGGTCATTATTAAAAGAATAACTTGACAGCATCATAATTCATCTCGCACGTGAGACCACAATAGTTACTTGATTAACCGACATCCACTGCCATTGAGTGTGGACTATAGATTTCAGGTCTGATAGCACAGAATCTCCACGAGCAACTTCAATTTAACAAGACAATTCTGAGCAAGAGTGAGTTAAAAAAAAAAAATACCCTGAAGGAAATCTCCAAGTTTTCTCCTCCCCAAATATCCATGCCACCATCGTACTCTCCAAGTTTCCTGAAGTAATCCCGGTCCATTGCAAATAGCCCTCCCGCCATCACTGGTGATCTGAAGGAGGGAACACAGAGCACATTGCTCAATGGTATTTGGCTTGGAAACCATAACAGAAAATACATTTAAAAAAAAGTTAAGGAAGTTCTTGAAAAGCCTATGGTGAAAGAGCAGGGGAGTAGGACTAATTGGATAGCTCTTTCTGCCACAGTCTGCCTCATTCTGTACTGTAAGATTCTATGATTCTAATAGTTTTTCAAAATGCCACAGCTCTTATGATTTGGGTTTATTTCTGCTCCTCCCTCCATCCCCACCCCAAGCAGAGCAAATTGATGGGGTTAATACAGTACTTGATTGGTGCAGTGGCTCCCTTTGGTCCCTTCAGCAGGGAGTCAGGCACTGGATCCCACTTGAAGTGCAGTCCCCAATTAAACCCTCCCTTCACCATCGGAGAAGAACTGTAGATCAATGTCTCAGCGTCAATCATGTCAATCATCGGGCACACCACGGTCCGGTGATCCTCCGAAACGGGGGCCAAGAGAGGCTGCAGCCACCTCGTGTTCACTTCACAGTGACTATCGAGAAACACCAGGACATCCCCTGAAAAAAAATATAAGCTTATCAAGAAATGCTACACTATCGACGCAGAAAAGCTACCTATGACGCTTGATCAATAATGACAAGCACATTCCAATTTCAACAACTTATATTCACATTGCGCCCCTTACGTCCCAGAGCACTTGACAGTGGTGGAGCCCGAGCAGGGGAAGATGACCTTAAGCATGCGCAAAGGGGAAGGTCTTCAGGCGTGACCTGAAGGAGGGGGCAAGGCGGAGGGATTGAGGGAGAGTATTCCAGAGTTTCGAGGAATAGTGGAGGAAAGCAGAGCCACCGACTGCAGAATAGAGGGCACGAGAGATGAGGAAGAGGCCAGAACCAGTCAATATCATTACCAATTCTCATTCTCCAAAGAGAATGTTCGAAGTTGAAATATCTAATTCCAGCCGATATTCTAATCATCCAAAATCTATTTCCTTGTATTAAGCGACAAACCTCAACGAACATAAATGGAACCTAGTAACCCATGGCTGTTTGTTTTCGACATGCTGAACCTATTTCCTCACAAAATAGGGCAGCGAGCAGCTTGTCTTAACGGTTTTGGAGACTTGGGTACCTGTTGCACGAGATGCTCCTAACATTCTGCTACGTATCAGACCCTTTCGCACTGCATTTCTTACAAGCTTCACTCTTTCAAGCAGGTTGTCTTGAACGTAATCCTCTAGCAAATCCTTCAGGTCATCTGGCAAAGAAAGAGACAAAGACGCACATTTTGGGAAATCCGATTCATTTGAATACACTGAGCTATTATGCTATCAGGATTGCAACCTGCAATACAATCACTGGCTTTACAAGAGGCAAAAAAAATATATATTTTCTTTGCAAGTTGGCAACAGAAGAAGTTGAATCATTTACTCACCAAAATCACTGTGGTCATCCACTAGGATGATTTCATGCAACAAGTGTGCAGGAGTGCGGTCTAGGACACTGTGGACAGTCCGAAGCAGAGCTGATAATGCTTCATTATAAAAGCAGATGATGATACTAGCAGAGGCCAGGTTGATCGGATACCTCTTTTCCTTACATCTGTCAAAAAGAGTTCAATAGTGGAATTTACGTTAAGCATTTTGTATCTGGAATCTCAGCTCCAAGGTTATTTTCAACAAACCTGTCATAATAAATTGCTTCAATAGCCAATTCTGAGCCTCCAAATGGAAAGTGTCCACAACACAAGGTGGTCAGGACTGCTTTATCCCCAATAATTTTGGGGCTGGAGAAACAAAGAATGAACTACAGCCAGAGCTCGTGCTCCTGATCCCCAGTCAGTGACCATTACTGAGGAGATGAAGTCAAGATTAGGCTTGGCAGCAATGATCCCCCTTTTCTCCATTGGTGAGTTTAAGCAATTTATTCAACTATCAATAATAATAATAATCCTAATTTCCGCAAAGCATGAGTTCTGGAAAGGAATTCTCTTCTGTTCCTTGCACAAGAAACATCTTAAAAGTAGCTCTGAGAATGTGAACTTGCTTTGGATCTCTCGTATCAGGAAGATCCCTGTGGTAGCCCAAGCGGTTACTGATGAGCAAGTTGAAGGCATGTTTCTGGATTCTCACGTCCCAAATCTGCTTATCAGCCTCATTGAAAATCATACCTGAAAAAGAAGAGTTGTCATGTTATACTTGTTTAAAATATTCCACTTAGTACTCAAATGTACTCAAATATTCCACTTAGTACTTGAAGCTCTCACTTCTAAATCCTCAACCTTGTGGTCCACTGCACAACACCCAACCCCTCCAGGAGTTGACAATGATTAGATATAACTGAACTGGTAATAAACCAGACCTTGCCATCACGCTCCTGGAACCAACCACTAACTGTAAATCATCTGTTCAGGTTTGACCCACCACCTCCTACAGTGACCTTCCTGTGACATTTTTCCTATTCTAGTATATTCTGTGAAACGCTTTGAGATGTCTCAAAGACTTGATAATCAAATGCAAACTTTATTTGTATTAGTAATTTTTTAATTTAAATTATTATGCAGGAATTTGCTTGGGTCATATATTATTGGGGTAATAATCCCTCCAAAAAAATTAAACACAAAAAATTGGGTTATTCAATCCACAATTTTGTTGGACATTGTTGTGCACAATTGGCTGCCGCGTTTCGTCCACAAAATAGTCAATCCACTGTGCAGTATATTCTGTGAAGCGCTTTGAGGCGTCCCAACAATGTGATAAGGCATCAAATGCAAGGATTATTATTGTTATTTTAAATGTATTACTTTGGATTTAAGAAGCAGAGCAGCAGAATGCAGCACAAGAGAATCTAAGAAAAAAATAAATCACTTTAGTTTGGAATAAAATACTTCATCGCACTCTGGTCTGCATTATTATAATAATAATAATCCTTGCATTTGATATAGCGCTATTCACGTCGGAAGGACGTCCAAAAGCGCTTCACAGAACACACTGTAAAGTGAATTGACTGTAAATTTGTGGGCGAACGCGGCAGCCAATTGCGCACAGCAATGTCCCACAAACAGTCATAGATTGAAAATGCCAATTTTATTATTGTTTTTGGTTTTGGAGGGATTATTATGTGTGGAGTAAGGAAACTTGCCCAAGGTTTCGCCCTGACCTGCCTGGAATTGAACTCAGGTCTCTCGCTTGCAAAGCGAGTGCTCTAACCACTGAGCTACAGGACTCCACCTATTATTCAAGTAACCACCTCAGGAAAAGCCACACAACAACAAATTGCACTTGTATACCACTCTCCACGCAGGGTTGAGTCTCAGAACGCTTAGATACAGCCAACTTAGGAGATAAATTACCTTTCTTCAGCTCTTTCTGGGCAACTTTCTTCAGGTAATTGAGTGATGATCTGACAGGCTGAGCCCTCTGCCACTGAGACTGAGGCAGCCATTTACTTGGCTTCAGGTACGGCTGGAGTTTCTCCTGCACGCCTCGAAAGTCCACATCGCTGAGAGAGCGCAGTTTCCAATTGACATTGAAGTAAACGAAAAGGAAGAGCATCCAGGCGACCGAAGAGAAAAGGCAGCCGTAGCAGAAATAGCAGAACACGGCACGGCCCGATGGCAGTCTGAACATTCTGGGAGCATCAACCTCTGAAATGGACAAACGTCAAATCGATTGCCCATAATGAGAGAAAAAAGAATTGGGTTTTTTTTTCCAGCCGACCAGACAACTCTTAGCGCTTCACAGGTAATTTGTCAAGTGTTGCAACTGTTTTAGGCAAACGCGCAGCAACCATTTTTATCAGCAAGGTCCCAAAAACACACACAAGGTGAATGACCCATTCTTCCGGGAGATTGTTAGCCAGGACACAGGAGAAACGTTATTTTTCCTCTTTGAAATAGTGCAATGGGATCTTTAACCCGATGTACCGACCAGGCAGAATGCTGCTTTAACATCTCATCTGAAAAATAGCACCCTACCCGTAACAATACAGTTCAGCTCTCCCACAGTGTCTTAAGATGGAGTAAAGGAAAATAATGGATTCAAATAATACCAGAGAAAGTTGTGGACTTCACTTTGAAAGAAAAATCGACCAAGTCCAGACATGCAAATTCTTACTAATCTGTATCACCTTTCTTCATAATATGTTTGCGCAAGTCTGAGTGGAGGAGTACTCATCAATTGCAAATTTAGTTCAAAGGATAGTATTAGACCTAGTTGCAATCATGGCCTTTTACAATTGTCCACTTAGTACAGTCATAGGACACGACCATCTATTCTCTGGGGTTACCACTATTCAGTAACATTCGGATGCACAATAACAGGAAATAACCTGAAACTCACATTACAAAGTAAGATTTAACTGGCCAATTCTCAATTCAGATTTTATTTGCGTAAATACTTACAGACTGGTCCCTAAACAAGCAAAGTTGCCAGAGTCATGTACACATACACAGTCACTACACTCACAGTAAAAATCCTGTGATACACTTTAAGACATCATGAGGCGCTATGTGAAAGTTAAGGATTGTTAGCAGTATTACCACTTTCAAAGAGTACAAAATAATCCATCCCAACCTACACTGATAGAGTCAGAAGGACAGAACCCATCAAAATACATCTGCAAAACTGCAGTGTGTGTCCAGCCTTAGAATGAACCCACTCTTGACACTTATCTATTCTGGGAAACCAAACTACTTAGATCCTTCCCACAATGAATATGAAGTACCAAAGTATGTGAAAGAGGTTAGAAACTTATACCATGTTCAACATTTCCCAATATTAGAAGTAGTCTAAATAAGGATATGGCTTGCCTTCTCTCTGTTCCCATGCGGCAATAAGGTTCCAAACATCAGCACTCAAAGAGAAGTGTTTGAGTTTTTTTTCACGAGGGGTGGGGTGGGGGTGTGAGAGATAAACTAATTAACATGCACATGCAGCCACTTTGTTGTTAGTCCAATTGCTGGCAAGCTTCCTTCCCTGTTCACTCAAATATAATTAATCAACCACTCAAATTGGCGTCTCTGAGTTATCTAGAGCAGTGTTGGTGGTTGACCAGCCAATTTGGATTAATTAGATTTGGAAGTCTGGTGTATTGTTCAAAGTGTTGCCTTTGGATGAGAAATTAAATCAAGGTTTTCCTGCTCCCATCCTGGATGTTAAAGTCTTTCACAGATGGGCCTGGAGACATCCTCCTTCAAACACACATTGTGTTTGGGCATTCTTCTCACTGCTCTTTGTGGCATGTTTTTTGATGCAGCTTAGCTGTCGTGTTTGCCCTACAAAACAAAAGTCACTACACTTCAAAATAACTCGATGTTTGCTGTGCTTTGAAATGTCCAGTACCAATGTGAATTGCATTGGGAGCACAGGAAGGTGCTGTATCCAATTCAAGTATTATTCTCATTATCTATGATGCGGGTGAAAGTGATTCCAAAGGGACTGATGAACCATTATCTCATTCGCATACACCCACACGGCTCACCAATACACGCGTGTGGGTATGTGTGTGTGGGTGGTGAGGGAGTGTTGGAATAGGATGGGGAGTAAAAAGAATTTACATTGACACTTGAAACTTGAAACAAACACCATTATAATGTATATTTGTTGCAGTTCCATGTAACTTGGCATTTAATTGTATTTAATTATATTTAAGTGAACAATCCTGATTGGCTCGCGCTAGGGCCTCCGCACCTCGGAATATCCACCTGACAGGTAGACAGGACCTCTGTTTAACATCTCATGTGAAGGACCTCCAAAAATGCAGCACATCCTTGTCACTGCGTTGGAGTGTCAACCTGGACTGGTAAGTTCAGAATCTTGAACAATCTTCAGACTCAGAGGCAGAGCCCATGAACCAGTATAAGATTCAGCCCCTTCGTGCTCTCCCACTTTGTGGCAAGACACATTTTTTGGTACTTAGCAAAGCATCTGAGGTCAGCTCTTCCCTTCCTGTCCACAAAGAGTTTGTTTGGATGAAATAGTTTCACACTGCTGTGTGCAAGAAAAACAGTGCCTTCAGGCAATGAAAGCCAAAGCACGTCATCACTCGCTCTGACTCACTAGTTAAACAAGGCTCAGGCCATGGCCCCAGATAAACTCAGGGCCGTGGCTGCACCAAGTCGTACGGTTAAAGTGCTGTTCCTACTTCCTCCTGGCTCAGACTAACTTGTCTGTGCATTATCCATGAAGCCAAGCCTAAGGATGGCAACTTGGTTGAGCTCTGCTAGACTTTATTAAGTCTGTATACAAGGTGCCACAAAGTCCTCTTACCCCCCCATTACAAAAAAAATGATACGAGACTCCAGAGGAGCTGAAACATGTGTAAAAAAAACACATGGGGGTAACAGGACTATGTGGACTCCCTGTACAATAGGACTAATTCAAGAATGGTCACATAAAGCATATGTATGTAATATCACAATCAAGCATCAGATGGCACTGTGTACTATGTAATCTAACTTCCGCTCTCAAGGCCTCAGTTCCAGCACTGATTTTATCCACAGCTGCAGAACCTCAGTTCATCTCTTTTCCACCTCCTTCATTCCTCTTCTAACAAGATCTAATGATATTTCAGTCAGCAATTTACTGAATGAGTGCTCCGGCTCCAAACTGGCCTGACTGCATTGAGACTGAGACTGATTTGAGAGAAGGGTGCGAGCGAGAGACGAGCTGAAACGATGGTAAGATGGGTTGTGGATGCCTGAAGCTGACAAAAATCCAGTTACTAGGAATTACAGACACTTGCATGAATTGGTTAATGGATGTGCCTTTAGCCAGTGGGCTTGTATTAATTGGATAATATGCATGACTGTGGCCAGCTTGCACAGCCATCATTTGCAAGGTGACATTGAAAACTGCTTTTCCTGAAAACTTTCAGGACTTCAATATCCCCCGAATCCTAGAAAGTTGCAGCCATTTAGAAAGAGGCCATTCAGCTCATCCAGACTCCACCCACCAGTGTCTTTCTCCACGAAAAACACCGATCCCACTCACCTGTTCGCTCTCCATTCACTTTTTGAAACATCTATCCAATCCCCTTTAAAAGAAACAATTAACAATATTTTTCTTCTTTCTGTAAATCTCTGTTCATTTAGGTTTATTAGCTACAGTTGCCCGGAGAATAAGTCAGCAATCCAGAAATCCCATGTTAGATTTCAGGTGAGTCGTGTTGCCTCCTAGCTGGGTTTGCTGCATTAAGGCCAGTTCACAGCTGTGGTTGGCAATGTCATTCCATTGACAGTAGCACAGAACAAGAGGGAGGAGCAACAGCTGAACTCCATCAAAATGCTCCATCAGAGGCAGAAAAGAAAATACTCACTGGAGAGAGAAAGAGAGTGAGCGAGACACAGGAAAGTTGGAAGCCTGAGGAAGTAGAGGTTCGTAGAGCCACAGATCAAATAATTAATTAATGGAGCTACTAATTTAAGTCGATTCAATCTTTATTTTAATTGTTTGATACTTTAGTTTGTTTTGAACTATCACAATCAGTATGGTGATTTTTATTTGTGGTTTCAAGCAACAAGCTGACCTCTAGACTGTGCTCCTAAATATTGTGCCCACTGCTCAATCCCTGCAGACCTTTTCATTGTAGAAGTTGCCATTCCTAGTTCCGCGTTAGCTGAAATTGCTCTGGTCTACACTTAGGTGTTACAGCTGGCTTCTTCCTACTGGAGGTGTGCTCAGGTGTTAGCAATCTTGCCTTTGATTCAAAAGTGAATGTATTCAAGCCCCACATCAGAGATGTTGAACCCAAAAGCCTAGGCTGACACCTCAGTGCATTGTTGGAAGCCATCCTTCATATAAGACATTAAACCAAGGTCCTGTTGATGTTAAAAATCTCATGGTACCATTCGAAAAGAGATGGGAGTTTTTATCCGGTGTCCTGGTCAACAATCTCCCAGGTAAAACTGGTCATTCACTTCATTGGCTGTGTGCAACCTGGCTGCTACTTTCACCAACAAACCACATAGACACTGCATTTGATAATAAATCTTGTGCAGTGTTTTGTCCTCCAGACATGAAAAGTGCTACAACAAATGCAAGTGCCTGAATTATTTATTCTTATTATTTATGAGTGGATCTCAGGTGAGGAGATGGTGGAGCTGCGATTACCCACCCAGTGTGGTTTAATGGACTGATGACAGTCAAGACTTACTAGAATTGACAGTCCTGCAATAGAGAAAACAAACCTAAAAGAGAGTTGGTGTGTATAAGAACCCTTTACGCAATGGGAAACATTGTTAGCTTGGGCATTATATGTTGTTAGATACTTTTCTTCTGGTGGAGTAGTGGATAAAGACTACTGTAATAGTTGTAAAAATGATATGTTGGTTACAGGTTCAAATCCAGATCTATTCTTAGTTGGGTAATTGGGAGGCAGTATTTCTTGCCAGAAAAGATGGTAGAGGCCAGGACACAAGACTCAAGCAGCTTGACAAGAGGATGGTGGAGTGGGTGTTCTATAGGGGTGAGATCGGATGGGACAAATAATAATAATAATAATAATAATAATCCTTGCATTTGATATAGCGCTTTTCACGTCGGGAGGACGTCCCAAAGCGCTTCACAGAACACACTGTAAAGTGAAT